GATCAATTCAAAATCGGAATGTGAAATAACTAATGACACACGATAACATGGTACTTTTGAGTGCCCCAATTACGCCATAAGCATTGTTTTAAATTCGAAGCGGTCACCTATTTTCGTCATAAAAATGGCTGAAAACACGTTTCCTTGTTCAAAATTACACGCAATTTGCCAATACATGGTGCATAATCAAACAGAACAATTGGTTGTATATTGGTGCTAAAGTAATCACTTCGGCATATTATTGTTCATGAATGTTCATAATTCATACTCACCGAAATAAAGGTAAAAGTCTCAGGGTTAACCCCTGATATTGACAAAGCAAAACAAGTATTCACAACTCGACTGTCCTTACCAACAAGTGACCCGGATGTAGATCACATGACCAACGGGTCACTACGTCACATCCGCTTTTGATAGGCGCGCGAATATTCGAGGATTATTAATATCACTAGCCGGATTATTCAACGAAGTCAATCAAGAATACCGTACATTCAAATCCATCTCTTCTGGTATTCATTATACAGAATACAACATAATTAATTACTTTGGACAAAAAAGCTTAAATAACAGCTTATTCAAACTTGTTATTGCTAAATGATAAAAATATAAATGGTAGATCTAATATTTTACTGCTAAGAAAAGCAAACCGTATAGTTTACGAAGTCACTTGAAAAAAAATAAGCTAACATCAACGTTTTATTTCAACTTCATCTAATCAGATACAGATCATAACAAAGATAATAACAAAGAAAAGTGTGTTACTTAAAAAGAAAGCCTAAGTAAATATCCATAATATTACTCATAAAAAATTATTTTTAAAAACCCATTAAATCTCCAATATTAAGCAAAATAGCCCAACTGCATTGCGTTGGTATAACAACACCGTTACCATGGTCACCCTTAACAAGCCGTGACAGGTGTGACATATCGCAGTATAGCTTGAAGGTTAGGTGTGCATAGAAACATAATCTGGCCGCGCTGTTCTTCAACAAATCAACGGATATCTTAAGTACACAGTGTGTTACCGAACGAGTTAAATAAAACCACTTAGCAATGTTCAAACACAATACAACGATCCCCCACCCACCACAGCGAACTCGACAATTGACCAGCCTAACCGGCAATATTTACCTCGTACATTTTCAGTTATCTTTACCGCTAACTGCAACACAGTGGTGTGGCCCGAGATTATAAAAGAAAATATCAACTTTGCATTATATTTTCTAATAATTTGAAAGCTTCAAATAACAGAGGGGATAAATTGAACACTGAATGTATACATTAAAAAATAGAAGGCAAACTTCAAAATAGCACGAAAAGTTAATGTTGATTCTTGTAATGAGTGAATCCGCTTACCTGTTCATTACATTCATAGGCATTAACTCTCTTTCATTCATTAATTTCATAAGTTACACATGTCTATCGCTATGGTTTGTTTTGTTACGCGTTTGTTTATATATCGCAATTTATTATATCCTTAATGATCGTGTATTGTACGCGGTGACTAATCCCTTGAGCACTCCGCTACCGTAACCCCATTATCATTGTAATATTTGTTAATATATAGCAACGTTATTTTACGGTCATATTGACATATGTGATGAATTTATGTACAACAGTTACACTAACGTCTATAAATTATTCAACATATTTCATGCACGTATTCAGCTTGCTATAACTGTGTAACCATAGCAAGGACAGCTGTTACAATTGACTATTAACCTACCTGCGCGCATGCGCAATAGACAACACCATTTTAATTGTACACACAGTAAATTAAAAAGTATTGTCCCAGCTACATGGGAAAACATGAGATGTGTGTGTGTGTGTGTGTGAGAGAGAGAGAGAGAGAGTGTGTGTGCGCGCGCGTGCGTGCGTGCGTGCGTGTGTGTGTGTGTGGGTGTGTGTGTGTGTGTATGTGTGTAACTCAAAACAAGTTCAAGAACACCCACAATTGGAAGGGTGCAGCCTTGATAGATACAATGGTCTTATGAAAAATCAGCTGTTCTTTAACCTCTCTTGGGTAATTTATAATACTTAGATAATAGATATGAAAGTGAACTTTAAGACAATTTTTCTTCTTAATAAGATACCACTTACATAATCCATCTTGGATTATCGCTACCTCCTTTCTGTTAATCCGCCCAGCAGAATCTGCCTGGTGCCGGTGAATACTGATACTCTGCATTGATTTCAGCAGTTAGCGAACACATGGTCTCTATATGTGTCGGGGAATGCTACAACTACATATTCCCATCAAGATCATTAAAAGGGGTTAAAAGCGTGTCGCACGTTGATGGTCGCTGGCATGAGAAATTATGATAATGATCATGACGACCATTTTTTGTTAATTTGTCTTTTTTTAAAAGTAGAAGAGGACATTTAAGTCCAAAATATTACCATGTACAACCATCTGTCCCAAAATTTATCAGTATTCTATCTACCAGAAATGATTGTGTTATTAAAAACCTGTCCATATATTTAAAAAGACATTTACCTATGTAAATAGAAATGTCAAAAATGATGAACGTTTGTCGTAAGAAAATTTGTGCATGGGCATAGTATATATTATTCCTGTAAATGAAATCTGGGCCATGGGGCCTTCATTCATGAATAAACTTATAATAATAATAATAATAATAATAATAATAATAATAATAATAATAACAACGACGACGATTATTAGTAAAAATGCCATTGATATTGCACTATATTTCCAAAGAGAGTCATGCTCAAAGCGCTACATTATTATGACCCAGGTCAATGGATCAGTGTGCACTCGAATTTCTTTCTCAGCTTCCTAGGGAGTATACAACCCAGGCTTCCTGAGAGGTGCTAGAAGGTTAACAGTCACATTACCATCTCACCCTACCGGGTACCCATTCGCCGCTGAGCGACCAGCAGGCAGGGCATGTCGTCCATGCCGTAGGTCACCTAAATTCCACAGGCTGCTCGATTCAGCGCCATCAAACAGTAGGTCACGTTGCATCCGCAGGCTGCTCGGTGGAGCATTATCACACAGTAGGGCGGGCCTCCGCACTCTGCATGTAAATGTTGCTATGAATAGAGCGGTGACTGTTGATCTCTATTTCACTTACAGAGGGTGTGTCCGATATAACTCAAACAACATCTTTGAATGTTCACGAGAAGCTACCGACTGTTTCAGTGGGAGATACAACAAAAATTATATAAATATAACATTCATTTAACAATCGGTGATAATCATGAGGACTTTCTAGGGTGAGGTAATTAAAATTATGAATTTCCACTCAACATGTTATTTCGTAGTTCCATCCCATGTTTTACAAATAAAGACAGTTTAAACATTACATCGGCATCATTCGATGACAAAATAGAAACAAAAGCTATTCTACTCGTCTTAGATAAGAAACATTCTGGTATATATTTAGTACGTAATTCTGCATAATAAAGACATTCAAAGGTAAAATGTATTTCGTCTTCTATTGCAGAGTTACAGAATGGACAAATTCTTTGTATTCTTTCAAGTGATATATTCCGTCCATAGTTAATCTCCCAATCTGTAAATTCTCACCCACTGTATTTATCTGAACTTGTATATGGGCCGATGGCCTTTGATACAATAAACATCTTTGACTTTGACTTTGACTTTGACTGTTTCAGTGTTTATTGCGATTCTAAGGTACTACTGACTACACTTTTAATATTTGTTTTATATAATTCAACTTTATGAAAAATTTATTTGTTTGTTTGTGCATTTTGTGTGTAATCCTGCTTAGAAACTTCACAACTAAGTAACGTTGAAAACATACACAATGTGTTGAGAGGTATTTCATGTTATGTGTCAGCTATTTCCTGGAGTGAGTGAATAGGTGAGTATTGTTTTACACCGCTTTTAGCAACATTCCAGCAATATCACGGCGGCGGACACCATAAATGTATTTCCTTGAAATAAAATACGAAATAAGACGTACGTTTAGTATTTGTTTTAAGAAAATAGAAGGAATATCATTTTCAAAATCATTATTTTGAATGTTTTTTTAAAAACATTTTTTAGTCTTATTCCATTGAGTTTGTTGATACATTTCATTAATGGAAAAGCAAGCTCATATCTTGTAACATGTCATTTCCTTTCACTTGTATTTTTACCTTCATTTTAGTTAAACGTATTTAATCAACAAATCAAAGTCAAACGGAGTGGCTATTTCCTCCGCCCTCATCGCACTTACACATGCGTGAGGTTACAAGTTGATACACATTTCATGTTAATAACATACGATTTCATACAAGTAAAGAGTGCCCATGTACAAGACAGCTCGAAATGTGCATTGCCTTCTTATAAACCTCGGTACAACCATGTTAACCTTCTTCATGAATTCAACCTCTGTACAAAATATTACTTTTAAATGAATGCTTTACAATGTTATTTTTGTAAAATTCCGACCACTTTTAAATAAAATCCTTAAACCAGGTAATATAATAGGCGATGGCGATTAAATAGTGTGATATAACTTAACATTATTTTCCCTATCATAAGTATACTACTAATATACAGAAAGATAGGGTTGTCCTTAACTTGTTTTGAGTAGTATGAGACGGCAGAGGTTTCTGGAGTATGCGTCATGGTATCCCAGTGGGCTAGCACTATAAATCGGCATCAGCCCGGACTAGTACAAGCACACACACACACACACACACACACACACACACACGTCGCTATATAAGTGCAATGATCTTGGACGCGACGTTAAACCTAATTTCACCTCACTTCTTGACAAGCGGGTTTAACACTTAATATCAACAATTTTGATAACAACAGAATTATACCAACACCACTTATTGTTATTGCTAATGTTGATGAGGGTGACAGTGAACGTGATTGTTTATCATCATGAACAGAATAACTGTTTTTATTGTCTTATACTGTCTGAAAAACACCACACGCGATCAACCCAGGAGAGGGGTTTCCCCGTGCCTGGCACTTGTTCTAAATATAGCAATTAAAGGAATTCCACCGCCGAGCTCACAGCGCCTTGGACAAGGAGCGAATAGCGACAACGTGGGTTCATCGGAGTCGGCAAACAGGCATCTCCCTCCGAACCATGTGGCAGAGACTAGTCAGCCAGCAGTTCAGGAAACAATTACAGGTAAATCGGGGCATTTAGTAAGTTTGAGACGTTTTAGTACATCGACGATTGGCCAGGTATCACAATTGCGTTAAGTGATTGTACTGACAGTACGAATCTCACCATTACACACTTTGAACTTCCGGGTTACTTGTTGAGTGCTGTGTGACGTATACTTGTCGTACTGGGTACACTGTTTCATGTGTCGGTGAACATGTACATGGTCTTTGAAGTTGGACGTTTGATTTAGAATGGTTATAAATTAACGCCCTATTTTCTAAGGTAAAGTATGCTATTTCTGTTACTATCCACAACTCTTAACCCGACAATTGATGAAACGTGGCTTTATTTTGTTTCTATTTATTTAACCCATGCAGTTAATTTACATGAGAAGTTGAACATAGTCTGATGGTATTCCACTGGGCGTTGCATATGCAAAGGGACCCGTGAAGATCCGGGGTAGAATAGGTCTTCAGCAACCCATGCTTGCCGTAAAAGGTGACTGTGCTTGTCGTAAGAGGCGATTAATGAGATCGGGTTGTCAGGCTCGCTGACTTGGTTGATGCATGTCATCGTATCCTATAATTGCGTGGATCGATGCTCATGATGTAAATCACTGGTTTGTCTAGTCAAGACTCGATCATTTACAGACCGCCGTTATGTTGCAGGAAAATTAGTGAGTGCGGCATTAAATAACAAACAAAATATATTTTTAAAAAGCAAAAAAAAAGCTTAGGGACAGATATATCATAAAATATACATCCAGTTTACATGGATACACACCAGTCATACGAAGTACATATGCAATGTGTATGGCTGTAAGACGGTTTTCTAACATCGCTTCTGTATAGCAAGTGAGCGTATTTAAAGGGGGTAAGGTTAAGCTCTGATATTCAATATGCCAGTTTTCATTAATTTATTATTACAGGAATATAACATTGATGATACATGATTTCGGATTTATTATTTCAGCTCCACACATATGTTTTATTGTTGCATTTGCATGGTTAAGATTACGCCATTTTCATACAATGCAGGATAGTATAGGAATATATAGAAAGTGATGGTTGTTTATCGTGGCTATGTGTTATCCTGTTCGTTCTAAATTGCCTATAATGTAAGGAACAAAACCAAAGAAAACTGTATTTATAAGGTGAATTCTTCAATCTAAACACATAATACATTGTTGAACTATATATCAAGAGCACTCAGGCGTTTGGGAAATATAGATATATTTCAAACCATTAATCAGCAAATTAATACTCGAAACCTGTTAAACACTTCGCAACCGAGGATTGGAAATGCTCACTCAGCTCAAATCACTGTCCGTCGGATTAGCTCGGGAATGCGATCTGTGCAGGGCCCGAATACACCTGTATCTCTGATATTATACGTGCGCATTCAGGGACCGTATACACTTTGTGGTATACTGACTATGTAAACAAATATGCGCGAGTATTCTGTATGGTCGAGAGAATGGCACTGTAGGCCCGCGTTAAACCCTACAGTGTGAGACAGCGGACACCTTCAGCTGTTCAAACATTGATACGTGACTTGTTCTGCCACGCACCTGTCCCGTGTGGCCTTGACCTACTTTTATGTCAACTGGGCCACGACAATTTTAAGATTTCACACCTGTGAAAATCAATATCTTACATCGCGAACATACTCAAATTTCATTATATATGCATAAATGATATTTACATGCTTAGGGTCTCCGTAAAATAAGCCGCAGGCTCGGAAAGATTTGCAGAAATGGCAGTGCAAGAAAATTTGATTCAAATCATTCAAAAGATAGTTTGATTTTTTCATGGACCCAAAATATATATCGTATTAAGTGGCCATGATTGTATGCCGACTCAAACTGTATGGTGTAGATCAGTCTAACAGTAAACGGCTATTCTAACCACACAAAGACAATGTCTATTTAAGACAGTGTGCTGGGGGCACGGGTAGTCCAGTTGTTTAAGGCACAGCAATTCGTTATGCAGAGTTGCGTCCCTTTGCCGTGTCAGAAACCTATATTCGTTGGTTCAAACCCTAGGGTCGTCCTTATTATGTTTCAAGGCCTTATCAGCACCAAAGTGGTAAACGTCTAAGACATGCGCGCGCATCACTTCAGGCATTTCCCCTTCATAAAGCAAACACGTGGTGATGTAACTGTAATACTGTTCAATGTAGCGAGACCCGTGAAGATCCGGGGTAGAATAGGTCTTCAGCAAACCATGCTTGCCGTAAAAGGCGACCATGCTTGTCGTAAGAGGCGACTAACGGGATCGGGTTGTCAGGCTCGCTGACTTGTTTGATGCATGTCATCGTATCCCAATTGCGTGGATCGATGTTCATGATATCAATCACTGGATTGTCTGGGCCAGACTCTATTATTTACAGACCGCCGTCACATAGCTGGAATATTGGTGAGTGCGGCGTTAAACAACAAACAAACAAATCAGTGTGGCTTAAACCTCACTCACTCTCAGCATGGGCGCTATTATTACAAGAAAACTTTGATGCGAGTCAACTCGGCGGCAAACTCTTTGTTCGTCTGATCATATTTACAATAAAATAATAGTCCCTAACTGTTTAATCAACACAGGCATGTTGAAAACAATATGGACGATAATGGTTTCAGTTCATTTCCTGTTTTAGTTCATACACCATACTTTGACTACTATTCGATTACCTCCCTTGTATACTGAATTTGGTAAATGAGCGCAGCCTATTCAGGCCGAAACGAGATAACAAGCATTCCGCTCGTGATAAACTAGCAATTCTCTTTCTCGTTGTTGCGGTAAACTATCAAACAAATGACATGCATTTCAGGGTTAAAATTTTATAATATACCGACAGCATATCGAGAATTTTAAGAACTATAGTACAGTTAACTACGGTTATAACGAACACGCTTATAACGAACTGACAGATATAACGAACTTACTTTTTTGGTCCCGACTATTTGCTGTAGTTACGCTGTATATATGCTTATAACGAACTATGGTTATAACGAACTATAATTAGTAGTTCCCTTGTGTTCGTTATAACCGTACTTTACTGTAGACCAAATGTGACATGTATATACACTTGTTTAAGACAACATGCATGTATTTTCTCTTCAATTACCCATTCGTTCTATATTCAGGGCTTAAACCATGTAAACGATGTCCTGTAGATGGATTGAATCTTATTACATTTTTGTAAGATCTTTAATAACACTTTTGGTTTCATAAGAAAACAAGAAAACAGCGTTATCAATATCCCCCACCGTAGGGCACACTAGGATTGTGTTTGTTCATATAGTAGTGAATATAGGCTACAAAATAGAGTTCTATAATTTTACAAAGCGTTGAGAAGTGATAGGCACTAGAGTCACTTTCATCATAAAAAAATGATTAAATGTGAAAATTATACACACACAAGGCCCTTTCTCTCAAAAAATAATTTATGGCACCAATTCTCGAATTCCGTCTTGATAAATATCTTTTAGATAAGCTAACTTCAGTAGTCTCTGTGAACAATTGTCCTTTTTGCAGACACTATGTATTTGTAAAATAACATGGATCAAGGCCCATAACTGTGCATGCTCAAAATCTAAAAAAAGATGCAGAAGGGAAGTAACTCTGGAAAAAAATTCGAATTCAGTCTTGACAAGTATCTCACTGATAACGTCATAGTAACGACTATGTAACGTCATAGTGACGACTACGTAACGTCATAGTCATAACGTCCTCATTGCTCACAATGCACTTAGTTGAAAAGCACGGAGCAAGGGCCATAACTCTGTAAAATGATACGGCACCAATTTTCTAACACATCTAAGATCATGACCAGTAATATCAGTGTGTCAAATCTCATTTCTCCAACTAAAATAGACCCGTGAAGGTCCGGGGTAGAATAGGTCTTCAGCAACGGTACCTCAGCAACCCATGCTTGCCGTAAAAAGGCGACTATGCTTGTCGTAAGTGCCGACTAACGGGATCGGGTGGTCAGACTCGCTGACTTGTTTGATGCATGTCATCGATCCCAATTGTGTGGATCGATGCTCATGATGTCAATCACTAGATTGTCTGGTCCAGACTCGATTATTGACAGACCGCTGTCATATAGCTGGAATATTGCTGAGTGCGGCGTTAAACAACAAACCAACCAACCAACCACGTGCGGCGTTAAACAACAAACCAACCAACAAACTTAAATAGTTTTTGAGAAAGCGGACCTACGGTAGGACGGACAGACGGACGAACGTATCCGTTCCTATACCTCCCGCCCCACTTTGTGGCGGCAGATAATACACTAGCTACCTCCTCATGTGAATTTATGTAACGTAGGCTTAATAAGGAAGCCTTTAAGGGCCAATTGTTTATCAAGATACTAAGTTGAAATTTCAAGAAACTAAGTTGAAATTTCAAGATACAGAAGTTGAAATTTCAAGATACATACTGAGTTGAAATTTCAAGATAATGATCTTGAAATTTCAACTTATGTATCTTGAAACTTCAACATAGCATCTTGGAACTTCAACATAGCATCTTGAAACTTCAACTTAGCATCTTGAAATTTCAATAAAAAAATAAATAAACAAATGGCCCTAAAAGGCTTCCGTAGCTTAATGTACCAATCTATGAATATCGGATGACACGTCAGTTAATTCAGCTTTGTTCCTCACTCATGAAAGATTGACATCCACTGCACTTCGCACTGGCCGTTCATGGTCATTGAGGGCGGTCGGGTAGCCTAGTGGTTTAAGCGTTCGCTCGTCACGCCGAAGACCCGGGTTCCATTCCCGACATGGGTACAATGTGTGAAGCCCATTTCTGGTGTCCCCCGCCGTGATATTGTTGGAATATTGCTAAAAGCGGCGTAAAACCATACTCACTCACTCATGGTCATTGAAATGATCAGTGTTGAATTTTACGACGTTTCATTCAGTTTGCGCTACTAGTGCCATATGTTAAAATGATATTGACGCATACTTTACATCGACTATTGTTTTTTAGGATTTGGTACAAGTCTTAGACACGTGTATGTTATCAATATCATTAAAATCAGATTTGAATATGATCAGATTTGAATGAGATTGGTATATTATTAGACTAAAGGGATCGGGTGGTCAGGCTTGGTGACTTGGTTGATAGCGTGTCATTGTACTCGTAGATAGGATAGTCTTTAGTTAGGGCTCACCTTTGGAAAAAATACCATATATGCGCCATATTTTGCGTATGGTATGTGTTTTACTGGAGTGCAAATACCGATGCGGTACATCCTATTCTATGGACCAACATCTAGTCTCTGAAATGAGAATTTTTGACTGAAAAATAGTTGTAAAATTATCTTAATAAAATACTATAAAAAGGTCCGGCGAAAATTTGTGAACCTTCAGCAACCGTGCTTGTTGGTTTCGCTGAAGTGATACACATCTAAAACCTCATAACTTTGAGACCCGTGAAGATCCGGGGTAGAATAGGTCTTCAGCAACCCATCTTTGTCGTAAAAGGCGACTATGCTTGTCGTAAGAGGCCACTAACGGGATCGAGTTGTCAGGCTCGCTGACTTGTTTGATGCATGTCATCGTATCCCAATTGCGTAATCAATGCACATGATGTCAGTCACTGGATTGCCAGGTCCAGACTCGATTATTTACAGACCGCGGTCATATAGCTGGAGCTGGAGTGCGGCTTTGAATAACTTTCCTTACTCTCTCTTTATCGCCAAGTAGGCGTGGCGGTCAACAATAGTGCCCTTTGAGCTCTTCCGACCGAGAGGGATGAGGACACAGCTAGTACAGTAGCCAAGTGGCAACAAAGCGTCATAACTATTACCTGATGTTACAGTAGCCTACACAAACAATGCTTTTTCTTGTTTTGACTATTATTATTAATACACCGGATTATATCGCGAATGTATCCAACTGTCCCCATGTCATTAAAGCATCACCTTCACCGGAGGATATCAGTTCAGTTTCGACACGGTTTTATAATCAATAAATGTTTGGCTCGTTTTATAGCTCTGAGTAGCGGTCCTTGAGCAAAACCGCTGACACTTTCCCTGGCGTTGTTATTGTGTTTACAGAGTCTTAATACCAGGTACATTGCCCTATTAGGTTACCTGCAAACTTTTCAGTGCGCATAAAAATTTTCGTTTTTTCATCCTGTACAAATTTTCATGGAAAGCCGCCTCTGTTTGAAGACAAACAATGGGAGTAGGATGCAAAGCCGCTTGCACACTCTAGACTTCCGATATGCCGCTACAGTACAAAGCAAAAATAAGTTTTCTTTGTCACACTAAAACACCAAGACCAAACTCAGTTAAACCCAGTGACACAATGAGAGTGAACCTCTACAATTCCGTCCGACTTGAATGACATGCCTTTTTATCACTAAAACTACAGTCAAACATGTGGTGGGGCGGTCGGGTAGCCTAGTGGTTAAAGCGTTCGCTCGTCACGCCGAAGACCCGGGTTCGATTCCCACATGGGTACAATTTGTGAAGCCCATTTCTGGTGTCCCCCGCCGTGATATTGCTGGAATATTACTAAAAGCGGCATAAAACCATACTCACTCACTCACTCAAACATGTGGTTAAACTCTGTGTCCGAGACCGCCTCTGTGGTTTGGTGGTAGAGCGTCTGCCCGGAGAGCGGAAGGTCCGGGGTTCTATCCCCGGCCGCGTCATACCAAAAGGCGTTAAAAGATGGTACTTGTTGTTACCCTGTCTGGCGCTCGGCATTTTGGGGAAAACCAAGAACTGGTTGTCCTGGAGTCAGTATACTCTGTCTGAGTGGGGTATTCATGTTAAACTGCTGCATGGTCACGGCAAGTATGCAGTAACTAGATTACATATACACATTTCTATGTTATTGAGTGAGTGAGTATGGTTTTACGCCGCTTTCTTTTAGCTATTTTCCAGCTATATCACGGCGGGGGACACCATGTCGGGAATCGAACCCGGGTCTTCGGCGTGACGAGCGAACGCTTTAACCACTAGGCTACCCGACCGCCCCTATGTTATTGAACACACGTTAGTTTTCGTAGGCATATCTTCATTGTATTCGGCTGTTACGACTAGAAAGGAGTAGTGGAGACTTACTCGGCCCCAGATATGTATTGACACATGAAGTATACGAAAGCCAAATGATGCAAGTTTGGTAGCATTAATGTATTTATTAAATCGAAATTTCTCTTATTTCAATTATTTGTTTAGTTTTTCAAAATCTTAATTTTTTTTCGTTGCTTCGATTATTTCTCGTTATTTCAATTTCATTTAAAAAACTCGAAATTTCGAGAAAATAATTGAAAAAACGAGAAAATAATGGAGAAAAAATTCCAAATTTCGAGAAAATAATTGAAATAACGAGAGAAAAAACTCGATATTTCGACAAAGTTAACAAATACTTAAACTAGCGAAAACATTCGAAAATAACATCAATGTATGCTTCCAAAGTGGCACCATTAAGTTTTCGTAATGAAGCGGAATTCAGTGATATCCACACTTGCCCGGTACTGTAGAACGGAATAAAAATAGCGTTCTAGGTCAGGTCGCTCGGAGGCGCTCGGGTGGAAGTGAATAGGGCAAGTGGAAGTATATATACCTCAGCATCATAATGACAACAAGTGACGTGTTAAAGGTATGTTCAGTCCCCTACGTGTTTGTCCGACAGTTCGTACGAAATACCCATGCAAAAGAATATTTCGGGTTGTTTTATGTTATAATGAATTGCAGCTTATTAAACAACCACATAGGACGCATGATGTGTGATTGTGAAACAGCAGTGTCAATGGGCACGTTACCTACATACAGTGTGATATAATCTTCATACTTGTACAATGTCAGTTATTGCTTGTTGTATTGTTGTAACACACTGATGTATATGCAGTTTACTTTATCATTCAGCCGTGACGACACACACTATGGCGCTAGACATAATATATCCAACCTATATAGGTCAAGTAAATACAGTTCGTGATACGAATACAGTGGTGTACATGGTAAGGTTGACACTGAATGAAAGATGTCGCTTCAGATTTTATATGAATAAAGCCGCACTGTGTTTAATAAAGATATGGTTTATTCTTCTTCTTTCTTTCATTTTTTTTGTGGGGGAGGGGCGATTATAACAAAATATGTGACGATGTTCAGCTGTTTGGTTTTTATGTTCTTGCATAAAATACCACATACAACGTTGTAAGCCAACAGCAGCTGTTAACAGTTTTAGGATATCTCTAGCCACACTTATTTATCTGATAGTAAATGCAATATACAATGCGTCTGTTAGTGTGTCATTGGGATAATAGTATATATAAACGACCACGGCGATGCGGATATTTCTCTTTCATCTTAAGTAGAATATGCTTCAAATTGATGGTGCACATTCCTAAATCTATTTAAATCAATATGATTAGCTTGTGATACAGGGTGAACGCGGTAGAGAATGCTGTATTTTGCCTGAGTCCTCGAGCTCGGTGGCTTTGATATTGAGCTTAACCCTTACAGTGAGTGAGTCTTGTTTAACGCCGCAGTCAGCAATAATCCCACCCAGGCATGTAATAAGTACGAAAGCCTATTGGTGCCACTTTGGTAGCACAAGCGTATTTTTTATATCGAAATTTCTCGTTATTTAAATTATTTGTTTAGTTTTTCGCGGTTTTGAATTTTTTCTAGTTGCTTCGATTATTTCTCCTCATTTCAAGTGTATTTAAAAAAAATCGAAACTTTAGAGAAAGTTATCGAAATAACGAGAAATTATTCGAAGTAACGAAAAAAATCTCGAAATTTCGAGAAAATAACCGAAATAACGAGCAGATAATCGAGAAAATTTTCAAAATTTCGAGATAATAATTGAAATAACGAAAATAAAATCGACATTTCGAAAAACTTAAGGCATATTTTAAATAACGAAATATTGCGATTTAAAAAACCATTTTTGCTACCACAGTGGCACCATTAAGTTTTCGGAATTCAGTGATATGCACACTTTCCCGGTACTGTAGAACGGAATAAAAATAGCGTTCTAGGTCAGGTCGCTCGGAGTCGCTCGGGTGGAAGTGAATAGGGCAAGTGGAAGTACATGTATCTCGGTTCGCACTTTGTGAAAGATGAGCAATAATCCCGCCCAGGCATGTAATAACAGAGTCCTGACCAGGAGAAAGCAAGTCGTGAGCAATGATGGACGCCATCGGACCACGATGACACACAAACTGATTAAACCATCCAATTTATTTCCTTTTGAATCACGCAATAGAGTGCTGCATGCGGAGTTATTAATACATTTGTTAAAACACACCTTTCGCTGGAAGGTGACTGTTCCACAAAACCTTCTTTGGGCTACGACTGGCTGAAATCCAAATTTTCAACATTGACTTACGAATGATCTTTTTGTTGAACAGGACTCACACGTATTAACCATCTGTTCCCATATAGTCGAATCGTACGATAATCAAGGAATGCAACGAAGTATTGCCTCATGAATAGTCGAACGAGTTCGCTTATGACGCCGAAGAGCTGGGTTCGATTCCCCTCATTGAAAGACTCTCAAAGCCTAATTTACGTATCGCCTTCGTGATCTAGCTGAGAGGGAGAGTGCCCGGAGAGCGGAAGGGTTCTAAGGACGTTAGAAATGGTACTTGTTGTTACCCTGCCAGGTGCTCGGCATGAGAGGCTGAGGAGTCCGTATATAATTGGATATCCAGCTGCGGTTTGGTATCTCAGTGGGCCAGCACTGTAAAAGAGTCCGAATTAGTACAAGCAGCCACACCCACACTCGCACGCACGCACGCACGCACGCACGCATATAGCTGGAATATTGCTAAGTGCTGCAGTAAAGAACAACAAACAAACAACAAGCGACGTTAAACCCCATTTTACCCCACCTTACCCGATGTACGTCTGTCCGCCCTTATGCGATGTTATGGAAAGCAAAGTGTTGATAGTTACCAACTGTCTTGTTTCACTCGTCTATACATTCGTTTTGCAGAATGTGTCCATTCCGACGATTGGCCGGCGGTCAGTCAGCGGTTTCAAGATTGAACGCCTTGACCACTTCGTCATCACCGTCGCCGACATCAACACATCCGTCGATTTCTACACGCAAGTTCTGGGCATGGAGGTCGCTACATTTAAAGTAAGAGCGACCGCCTCCGTGGTCTTATGGTAGAGCGTCCGCCCGGAGAGCGGAAGGTCCAGGGTTCGATCCCGGGCCGCGTCATACAAAAAGACGTTAAAAGATTGTACTTGTTGTTACCCTGTCTGGCGCTCGGCATTAAGGGGCTAAAACAAAGACTGGTCGGCTCGGAGTCAGTATACTGTGTCAGAGTGGGGTATCCATGTTAAACTGCGGCATGGTATCTCAGTGAGCTAGCACTATAAATCGGCATCAGTCCGGACTAGTACAAGCAGCCACACATACACGTGCATGCACGTCGCTATATAAGTGCAATAATCTTGGACGCGACGTTAAACCCAATTTCACCTCACCACCTCACCTAAAGTAAGAGCAGCATATTGATCCGCTTACTGATAACATGCTACCTAGCAACTGGTGACATGCCACTCAAAAACTGATGACATGATACTCAACAACTGATGACATGCTACTCAACAACTGATGGCATTCTACTCATCAACTGATAACATACTACTCATCAACTGATAACATACTACTCAACAACTGGTGGCATGCTACTCAACAACTGATGACATGCTACTCAACAACTGGTGGCAGGCTAATCAACAACTGGTGGCAGGCTACTCAACAACTGGTGGCAGGCTAATCAACAACTGATGACATGCTACTCAACAACTGGTGGCAGGCTAATCAACAACTGATGACATGCTACTCAACAACTGATGACATGCTACTCAACAACTGTTAACATGCTACTCAACAACTGTTGACATGCTACTCAACAACTGTTGACATGCTACTCAACAACTGTTAACATGCTACTCAACAACTGGTGGCATGCTACTCAACAACTGATGACATGCTACTCAACAACTGATGACATGCTACTCAACAACTGGTGACATACTACTCAACAACTGATGACATGCTACTCAACAACTGATGGCAGGCTAATCAACAACTGATGACATGCTGTTCAACAACTGTTGGCATGCTACTCAACAACTGATGACATGCTACTCAACAACTGGTGACATGCTACTCAACAACTGATGACATTCTATTCAACAACTGATGACATGTTACTCAAAAACTGATGGCAGGCTAATCAACAACTAATGACATGCTGTTCAACAACTGATGACATGCTACTCAACAACTGATGACATGCTACTCAACAACTGATGACATTCTATTCAACAACTGATGACATGCTACTCAACAACTGATGGCAGGCTAATCAACAACTGATGACATGCTGTTCAACAACAGATGACATGCTACTCGTCAACTCATAAGACGCGACTCAACAAATGATAAAACAACTCAGGTGTACTTACTCGTGCACCGTCTCTGTGGTGTAGTATATACATCGTCTGTCCGGAGAGCAGAGGGTCGGTGTTTCGATCCCTTGGCCGCGTCATACCAAACGGCACACGTTAAAAGGTGGTACTTGTTGTCACCCTGCCTGGCGCTTGGCATTTACGAATAAAACAAGGACTGACGGTTCAGAGTCAGCATAATTTGTCTGAGTGGGGTATCATGTTAAACTGCGGCATGGTATCTCAGTGGGCCAGGACCAACCGGAATAAGTCCGGACTTGTACAAGTAGTCACACATACACGTCCACGCAGCTCGTGTAATAATAATCATGTGTTTTGTATATAAATTGAAGAACTCAAATTTGAAATATCGTTTGAATATGAAAACAATAGCCCCGGTCACCAGTAATAGGTAAACGTTTTGTTCCAGGGTCGCAAGGCGCTCAATTTCGGCCTCTCTAAGATTAATCTCCACGAGCGTGGCAAGGAGTTTGAACCCAAGGCCAGTTCCCCGACCCCAGGGTCTGCTGATGTCTGTTTCATCACCCACACGAAGCTGAGCGAGGTCATAGAGCATCTCAAGGTACTGAACCGCTATGGCATTCTGAACACACAGACACACGGGGGGCACGTGTGGCCCAGTCGTCTAGGGCGCCGCGATTCGCTGTGCAGAGTTGCGTCCCTTGGGCGCGCCAGAAACCTATGATTGTTGGTTCGAATCCCGGTTCGCCCCGATTATGTTTCAATGTTTGTCAGAACCATACCCGTGCAAAGGGGTTCACCGAAGTGGTAAACGTCTGTGACCTGCATCACTTCCGGCTTTCCACGGCTGACACGCCGTGATATAACTGGAATAATGTTAAAAGCGGCGTGAAACCCAACTCACTCACTCACATACACACATCATGATGACAATCCAACAGTAAACGGAACGACTAAAATATAAAGGACAAAACAGAGAGAAAAAAAGTCTGCTCAAATATGATTGATAATTAAGAAGAAGCAGCATTCCCAGTTGATGTACTTTGCAATGTATACTTAGGCTTATTAAACCTTACGAGTGTTACCCTTGAATAGATACGTAGTGTTTAAAAATTGGGGTCTCTTTTGTTGACCCTTTTTTCTCCTAGAGGTTGTTTTGTAACTGGAGGCGCCCATCTTAAAACACAATCGGTTTTTATGTAGATGGCACAGACTATTTGCCCAGTGACTGATTGTGGGTTCGAATCCCGGTTCGCCCCGATTATGTTTTTAGGTTTGTCAGTACCATACCCCGAAGTGGTAAACGTCTGAAACCTGCATCACTTCGGGCTTTCCTCCCACATTAAGCTGACACGCCGCGATATGACTGGAATACTGTTAAAAGCGGCGTAAAACCCAACTCACTCACTCATTTTAATATTTATGATCACCTCCTGAGGTTACATGTACATTGACTAAATATCACGACATGAAAATCAAGTTGAAAAATATATTTCCTTTCAGCTAAAACATATTTTCTCTATGTGGCACTGATTTGAAACAGTTTGAATTTGAATTTCCATGAGCCTGAATATTTTTAGGACCCCACATGACAATTCATTACGAACTCAGGGTATGATATATAGTCAATTAACGTTTTATGATTCAATGGTCCAAAGGGCCGCTTCGCAGAGTTGCGTCCCTTAACAATGCCAGGATCCACTGGCTATTGGTTCAAATTCTTCACGTGTGCCGAATAGGATCCTTGGTTTGTCCGCACCAGACATGCGCCGCTTGGGTTTTCCTCCCACATTAACCCTTGCCGTCGTGGTATTAGGGAACTGTTCATCTTACATCGCAACTAACTCAATCACTTTTTATTTTAGAGCTGCAACGTCACTATCATGGAGGGACCAGTAGAACGGACTGGAGCTGTTGGACCAATCAGCTCCGTCTACTTCCGAGACCCGGATGACAACCTGATCGAAGTGTCCAACTATCCCGACAACATCAAATCATGAAAACAGCTGTCAGTAACACGTGACGCTCGTATTGCTGTTACCGTGGTGTCGTGCTTCCGATTTATCAAAGGTGCTTTTCCGAATGAGAAGAATATATCCAAGTAATTCATGGCTGAAATATCCGTTGATCTACTTTGATGACAGGTAACATTCCAATGGTCAAGTGACACTGCACAATATTAGCAGGCAAAATGTTTGACTCTTAAGGATTCAGCTGCCTTGCTTAGAGGAAGCCATGTCATCATGGCGCACCGTTGCTTGCTTGGCATCATGGTTGCACTGCTTGCTACGACAATGTTTGAACTGTCCACTTACCGGGTTTAATTAGCAGGCAAAGTTTAATTATGATTATTGCATGCGTCACTTGTTTTTCGTCAGTTGTTTACATATAATTATTGTGTATATCTCATTTAACCAGGTGGGGGCAGTGGTTAAGCTTTCGCTCGTCACGCCGAAATACCGGGTTCGATTCCCACATGGGTATATTGTGTGAAGCCCAGTTCTAGTGTCCCCCGCCGTGATATTGCTGGAATATTGCTAAAAGCGGCGTAAAGCCATACTCACTCACTCACCAGGTATGGTGAAGTTTAACCAGGAGCCGATGCTCTGGATATAGATGTTGTGTGTCATAAACAGAATAAATGTATCGCCATATCAAACATGACTTGTGTTTTCTATTGTTTAGACTATAGACTATAGTTTAGAACTTTATAGACAAACTAATTAAACATACAATCTCATTAATCAGATCATTTTCTCCGATACGATACCTCTCTACCTTCAAGAGTCTGATTTGAATGAGATTGTTAAACATTGACACATACGAATCGTCCGATCATCGATTCGGACGGCCATGATTATCGCGATTTCTCACGATATCACAGGCGCTGTAGATGGTTTGTTGTTTGTTTTTTGTTGTTGACGGGGGTCTGTAAATAATCGAGTCTGGACCAGACAATCCAGTGATTCCCATCATGAGCATCGATCCACGCACGCATCAACCAAGTCAGCGTTAGTCCGTTATAAATACTCGGATGATGGCTTGTTTATAAGAATGATACAATAGGTGACTGGTATGTTTTTCAGTTGTTCATGTGAAAAATATATAATATATTATTATATACTATGCCCCAGGGGAGAACATTATCTTGCGATCTCCTCACAGAGTTATTCCTCTAAACCCTTCACCCTGATGTCCTGATGGGTGGGGGAGTCGTGTAGACCTGCTGTCGGTTCATTATCACTGCGTACCCGGATGTAATGCTAACGAGACCCATGTTGGAACAAGACCGGCTCCATGGCCTAGTGGTCGAGTGTCCCCACGGAGTGCGGAAGATCCGGTGTTCGATCCCCTATCCGTTATACCAAAATACGTTAAAATATGATACTTGTTGTTACCCTGTTTTGCGCTCGGCATTAAGGGGCTAAAACAAGGACTGGTCAGCTCGAAGTCAGTATACTGTGTCTGAGTGGGGTATTCATGTTAAACTGCGGCATGGTATCTCAGTGAGCTAGCACTATAAATCGGCATCAGTCCGGACGAGTACAAGCAGCCACACACACGTGCATGCACGTCGCTATATAAGTGCAATAGTCTTGAAAGCGACGTTGAACCCTATTTCACCTCACCTATGTTGGAACATAAAGCATGTTCTTCCTGATCAAGAGAACAGAAACTTAAAAATGTCTGTATGTTTTTAAAAACATGTTGATGCCCGCCACGATTAAATTTTCATGAGTATTTTATCAACTGGAACTGCGGGAGTCGTCGCCGGGCTGTCTAATCAGGGAGGCAGTAGTTACAACCGTCTCGTGCCAGGTGAGGTCAACGTGTCCACCATTCAATGGGGTCGTCAAGTGTGGCAGGTATCGATGGCTTAACCAACCTCAAACGACTGCGTAATGGCACTTAGGTGGAGATGCGGGATTTGAAAACCTCAATGCAGTTGGGAATGTTTAGCTAAATGATTTCATCTATGATGCGAGATATCAAATACAGTAAACTACGGTTATAACGAACACGCTTATAACGAACTAACGGATATAACGAACTAACTTTTTAGTCCCGACTATATGCTGTAGTTATGCTGTATATATGCTTATAACGAATTTCGGTTATAACGAACTAAAATTAGTAGTCCCTTTGAGTTCGTTATAACCGTAGTTTACTGTACCACCATACACTCGGACCGTTGTGACCGTGTTATACATTAAGATGATTGTTTCCATAAATCCAATGACCCGATCCACATGAAAGTGGGGAATATGTAATTATATCATTTTATTTATGATCAGATATATCAAAAAAAAACCTACTCTTGACAGTGAGGGCCGTGTTGTATCGTTAAGGCGATAAATCGAATGACCCGAAAAAAATGACAATAGGGATTATCATAATAAAATATCATTTTAATTATTATTCAAAATATTTAATATAACGATACATGCTGTAGCACCGAAAACTTGCCAACCAGCGTTACGTATACAGCATGATAGCAAGAGTGAGTGAGTGAGTTGGGTTTACAGCCGCTTTGAACAGTATTCTAGTTATATGACGGCGTGTCAGCTTAATTTTTCAAAGAAAGCCCGAAGTGATGCGGAAAGTGACTTTGGTGAAACCAACAAGGACGGGTATGATGGTAACAAACCTGGACACATAATCCGGGCGAACCGGGATTCGAACCCACAATCATAGGTTTCTGGTGTGCCCAAGGGACGCAACTCTGCATAGACGACTGGGCCACCCCTGCCCCCTGATAGCAAGACTGTGATGGGGAACAGTTGCTGATGCGACAATAATTTCAACTGATCTTATCCTCATCATAATACTTTAACGTGATGAACTGAATGCTGTTGAAAGCGACATTAAACTCAACTCTCACTTACATTGTCTCTCTTTACATGGACTGTATATGGAAATGACGATTGTAACTTACGAAATGTGAAGTGTGCATTATCACCGAAGTACTGAATTCAAATAGTAAAGCGTAAGTACATGTACATGCGTTCATTTTACGTGAGATGTTCCCGCCCACGACGCTAGGCACTTACACATCAACTAGACTTCTTACTGCTACGGGGCAGTAGGGTAGCCTAGTGGTTAAAGCGTTTGCTGGAATATTGCTAAAATCGGCATGAAACAATACTCACTCACTCTGACCTGCCGTCATAACACACGCTCAACATACGGCGAGGCTGGATTCGTTCAAGTTATATTTGAATGCGGCCCGCTCACACAACAGCTGTATATGTGTACGTTCACTACACATACTTGCTAAGAATGTATACATTTGTTGTTTAAGGATATCGAAGAGCCCTTAATGCTATCAGGACATCCATTAAACCATGGGGGCGGTCGGGTAGCCTAGTGGTTAAAGCGTTCGCTCGTTACGACGAAGACCCGGGTTCGATTCCCGACATGGGTATAATGTGTGAAGCCCATTTCTGGTGTCCCCCGCCGTGATATTGCTGGAATATTGCTAAAAGCGGCGTAAAACCGTACTCATACTCACTCATTAAACCATGCTTGCTTGTTCATATCAGTCTTCAGTGACGATAAAGACAGAACATTCGCACAGGAAATCTTATATCGTTTCTGTTTATCCATCAATTAAATGGATACCAATTCGGCAAAAGAGATATAGCTCTATCTACAAGCCTTTCTTAAGAAATATCATGTCAGTCCAAAGAACTCCCCTTTCGCGTCGTCACTTTTGAGGAAATCTACTGAATACTTAATCAGCTGTGGTCTCAATAAATCAGTTGACAGGATGACATCCTGTTAATACAATGTCTCAATAGTTGCTTCGAGTTTTAGTGAGTAGCTTTATAGTCCGCCTTTTGCAATAACCCAGCCACAATAACGGCGGGGACAACAGAAATGGGCTTCACTATGGAATACTGTAAGGGACATTCTCGCGATCTCGACCTTTGGAAACGAGGTAAATATGCCCAAAACACGAGAATGCGAGATCGCGAGATCGCGAGATCGCGAGAACTCGAGATTTTTTCGCATTCTCGTGTTTTGGGCATATTTACCTCGTTTCCAAAGGTCGAGATCGCGAGAATGCGAGATCGCGAGAATGTCCCTTACAGTAATCCATACTTCACACATGAGAAAATCAAACCCTGGAGTTGAGGTCGTGACGAGCTAACGTTAACGAGTAGGCTAACCAGTTAATAGCAAAGACTCCGTTGCCAAGAGAGTTAACAAATTATGAACGTTAACACTGTTGATAGGGTTAAATATTATGGAGCTCGAAACAGTTATCTTAATTCATTCTTCTTACTTGATTACTTATTGAAACTACATACATGCATTCAAACACTGTTAACATCATTCGCTGACAGACTTTCATTAAATTCTGCACAAAACGCCGATATATCCATACTGATAATATAAACTGCCGGACAAAATAAAGTATACACTCATATGTTTGATGGTGGCTTTATAATGAAACAAGAAATGGTTATTCCATGGTGATGTATTTGAAACGGATATCATATGCATAGTTATGTTTTTGGAATGTTTAAGTTTGGAGTGTTTCGGCGACTGTTTTCGGCCTGGTAACGTTTTGATAAAGTTTGATTTGTTTTTGTCGAATTCAATTTTCAAGTGTATACTTCCTTTTGCCAGACAGTTTATGTTATTTTTTTTATATAGACGTAATATTTCTCCAAAGCCTGACCTCCATTGAAAATCGTTACTTATGTGATCTCCAGTGAAGGTATTCCCTAACATATGTCGTAGCTCAGTCACCTGCATCAATAGCTTTAAGGTAATACTCACTGATTTGCGACCGTCACTGTCGCGTCGGTCTTGATGAACAGTGTAGCCCAGAAACAAACAAGAGCACTTCCTTGTTCGTCAGTGTATTGTCGGCAGACTTGCTTTTGTTATATTATGCATCCTTCAACACTGTCTTTCTTAAATGAGTCCAGAAAACAGGCCAAAAACGTGACTTTTAAAATACTTTTAACCGATTAAGATGCACGGGGGGGGGGGTACCTCATCTAGATACGTATGAGCGTCCTTTGACCCCAGTGACGACATCACGGGTATACTCTTTTGGTCTCACGTGCATTGCTTATGCGTATTATGCACTCTACGTTTGGTTATATTACCGTTACAATTTATGTGTACTACGTCACGGTCTCACGTGCATTGCTTATGCGTATTATGCACTCCACGTTTGGTTATATTACCTTTACAATTTATGTATACTACGTCACGTTCAAAACGTTTTCGAATGGTGTCTATTAATGTCAATCACGGTGGCTGTTGTCAGCGATGTTGCTGTCATTGAGTCACGTGTCCCATGAACCCAGTCATTGCAACGATGATGCAAGTTTGAAGTAGAAGCCTTAAAAGTAGATATGACAATGTTTTGGGTTGAAATGTCTTATAATGTTGCGTTTCTACATTCTGTTACGATAGATGGCTAAAGCAAGCCATGGGCCCGGTGACAGAAGCGTTGGCTGTAGGTGTTACATTGAAGACCCAGGTCCAGGTTTTCACATCTTAACACGGTTTCAGGTGCTCAACACCCCCTCACATATTTCAAACTGATGAAAACCTCACTCTTAAAATGACTGTAGTAAGAATTAAAATGATATTCCTATTACTTCAACTGCAGGTTAAACGTAAAATAATAATGATAATAATAATGAATAACAGGGATCATTATCAGGGTGAACCTGGGACTCAAACCACTATCATCGTGTCCTGGCACGACTAAGGGACGTAACCCACACGTACATTGATATAGTTAATGAATAAACATATGTCTACTGTCATAGAAAGGAATAATAAAAACCGCCAATGCCAGAATATAATCAGTCTCGATTATCCGCCGAAATCGATTCCAATGGCCGTAAAAGTGAGTGAGTGAGTGAGTATGGTTTTACGCCGCTTTCAGCAATATTCCAGCAATATCACGGCGGGGGACACCAGAAATGGGCTTCACACATTGTACCCATGTCGGGAATTGAACCCGGGCCTACGGTGTGCCGAGCGAACGCTTTAACCACTAGGCTACCCGACCGCCCCCCAATGGCCGTAAAAGGCAAAATAGCGTTGAAAACTGTACGAATGGATCACTGTAATTCAGTGATGACGCGACGTGTTCGCAAACCCATGTTGAGATCCCGGGACCAAATACGTCACCAAATACCCAACTAAAACGGGGATCTGGTAGTCAGGCTCATTGACTTGTCTGATAGAGTCACCCTACCCCTAAAGACCGTTTGCCATGCTTTCACTCACTTGTTACGCGGGACAGCTGCAGTATTGCTAACTGCGGCGTTAGACAACATTCACCCAATCACTCATATACCGTTATCATATATCTTTTGTATAAATGTTTCAAACATTCTACAGTTCCGCCTCCAAGATGTTATTCTGCAATTTCCTTCATTGTAGCCGTATGCGAACAATGCATCTGTTAAAGGAAAAATATACGATTATTGGAAAAACGTTTCTAGTCGAAGAGGTACAGTGTTTTCCGCAAATATTTTTGTCTATCAGCATTTTTTTTTGGTGAGGTTTCGTGTAAAACTATGGAGAGTTTTATCATCCGACACGACTGTGAAACTGAAACGCCCTGTCTTGTCATGGAGAGATTTAGGTAGACAACAGTGTTCAACACGTGTGTTTTAAATCGTTACGTCACCAGCCCATGTTAAAATACACCGGATTTTACAATACGTGACGGGCCACCTTTTCCTCGTGTTCGATGTATTTGACGAAAGTGAAAAACACAAAAGGGGACTAAACACTGGTTGTTACAATTTAAAAAAAAACTATTCTAAAATATAAAAGGTGTTGCCCTCCGTTTAACTTGAACATGTGCATATTGACATGTAGACTTTTTCTTTGAAGTTAGAAAAACATAGATACATATATTTGACATGTTTGAACGATATCCCTTACAAAAAGGGCGTTGTATAATTTTATCATTATAAAAACATCATCCTGAATGCAATTGTAATATATCTGAATGTTTAAAAAAAACGAAAACAAAAGTGTAGATGTTGTCCAAGCATTGTCCCTTTGCTTGTTTTCGTTCTCTATCAAAATATTAAAATATTAGGGATTATGAATATTTTGAGGTAGGGGCGGGGTGTGGGGGCAGGGGTTGTTTTGGTAGTGAAGACTAAGGAGTCAATTTTATAACAATATCCCCAAAACTATTTATGATTTCTAACGTTTTTGTTTCAGTACATATTGTGACATATTTATCAAATTGAGTTTTTGATCATTTAGAATATAAAGAAACGGACGCATCTATGAATGAAAATAGAGCTTGATTGAAGTGGTCATTTTGATCGGTTAACCCAGTGGTCAACTAACCTTGTGCACTGGTCAGTTCGGACACGCGTCAATACTTTAAAGGGTCGCGTGCGACTGTAACGTTAAAGAAAGCACTAGCCACGGAAGCAAGCTTTAAAAAGGTTACGCCCGGGGCGGGGAAGCGAGCGAACGGACATTAACAACGTAGGCAATATGCTTGGATGACGTTTTTCTAGAAACCTGAACGAGCTGAAACAAGGTTTAGAAAACACCACACCCCATCTTGTCCAATGTCACTCGTGACATGTTTGTGTTTTCAACCCCCAAGTCCAGAGTTCCGTTTAAATGTTTCGAGGGATTAAACTTTTTTTTGATTGCATGTTTTCCGATTTTGCGGTTTTCTAAACGCTAATGAATTACGCAGCACACAATGACACACCCTCACGCTTAACTGTGTGGGGATTAAGTATGTAGAACTAACCTGTTATCTTGTAATGATGGATTTTTGTGGTTAACACTGCCGGCTGACATGCATCCGTTTACAAGGCGTGAAATTCATAAAAATATGACAGCGCTTAATATAGCGTTAACCAGTTGTTGGTTTTGCTTTGAAGTTCACATCAAATAGATATTAAATCCTAATTATGGATATATCCGAATTAAACCACATGATATATTTATGGTTTTGTGTTATATTAAGAATAAATATATGATACAGAAATAGACCAGATGACCGGTGATTTTTTTGATTTTTTGAAATCATGAATCAACTTGGATTAATGTGTTATTCTGTACAACCCTATCCTGTTTTGTTTCATCGGTTGAATCCACGCACGAGTAGAACTATTATTGCTTTTATTATCATCATTATTATATATGTCATAATTATTGAAATTCCCCATGAAAAAAAATATTTTAAAAGAAGCATAGGTCAATAGCCTTTAGGTCACAATATTTATACATATATGATATATCTGTACGTTTATGATGAATATGAAAATGCAAGTATGTTTTACCTATGTATTTGAAGTTGTACGTATATCAATATATACATAAATATTGATAATATTTACACCAGTTGACACCTATTACGTGTCATAATTTCAAAATTGGATAAATATTTCGACCTTTTGCCCGGACCCCCTAAAGTAATAAACGAAAAAAATACACCCAATAATAACAAGCTAGGTACCCCCCGCGTTGCTTTGTTGAGCCAACACAGCGATCAGCTGCTGAGATATTGACTGAAATTGACCCGTGTCGCTACACCTTCACAGTTTCTCTCTATGACCATTTCCTCAATGTCAACGCACGCCACGTGACATCAGCTTCTCCGTACCGCGTCTGCAAAACGCAGCATGCGTCAATAGACAGCCAGCTGTTATTGAATATATATTCCCCGATCCACGGGATAGCTAGAGCTGTTACTAAAAATGAAACCTACACATGCCGTGATCAAAGATGGCCGCCAATGTTGTCCCTCCTTAAGTCCAAATGTGGTGTTTGAAACAAGTAGCCACGCCTCCCTGTCAATGACGAATCGGCTGACCGCACTCACAAGCCGGGACCACTGTTGAGTATATATATATTCGACCGATGGCCGTTAGTGTTATCAGAGCTCTCTTTGAGATCGGAGGAGACGAGTTGGAATTGAAAGATAGCGTTTGACAAACGATTTTCTTTATATTTCCAACGTCGTTAAAAAGCTTGTGCAAATACGGGATTTGAGAACTAAGCACTGGAATTCTTGGAGTTTGGAGATAGCGTTTTCAACGAGTTTTCTTCTATTTTCCAAGTGTGTTTACATTTCTCGTTACCCTCGGAGGCCTCAGTTTCGACTTTCGGTACCTACCCGTGAACCTGGATATAACATCAACTGTTGTTAGCTAAGGATTTACACGACAAGCGTTATCTATTCACTTTGGTCATTTTGAAAGAGTTCAAGAACACATCGGTGCGAACACCAGACACAAAGTACGTATATTCTTATATTCTTGTATCTATCTATGTTCATTCTGATGTTGTTACTCATTTATGTAAGTGATATAACTAAGTGGTATTATTATATTTAATGAACAAATTGCAAAATCGGAAAATGAATAAATATCATAATAGTGCTTTCATTAAAATTATTAGAGACAGTTGTTTACAAAATAATAGTCGTTGGAGAAAGTAATAATTGAATATCAGTATTAAATCGCGAATGTTTACATGACATTCATGCACAATGCGGCCATAAACCCAAAACCTAGTGTCAGAAAACATAATCTCCCACAACCATTTCAGTTGAACAAAGAGTGAGTGAGTATGGTTTTACGCCGCTTAAGCAATATTCAAGCAATAACACGGCGGGGGATACCAGAAATGGGCTTCACACATTGTAATCATGTTGGGAATCGAAGCCGGGTCTTCGGCGTGACGAGCGAACGTTTAAACCACTAGGCTACCCGACCGTCCCGTTGAACAAAGATCGATTGATAAAGTAAATTATATTGCGTTTCAGAAATCACCATGGTTATTGGGATAATTCGACGCCCTCCGGTGGTTACCCCCAGTGACATAAGGAGGAACACAAAGGTATTTCTTGCTTTGAAACTTTCTTCTGTAATGACTTACAAGGTATTCAGTATAAACATAATACCTTGTCCATGCTGTGTGAACACAATTATTGATCTGAAAACAGGTGACAAACCCCTTTCAACAATCAAAAGAAATATATGTATGTTAAAAGCTCAGCAACCGTTATATTTCATTCTAGCATTCCCAACCGAAGGACAGATTGACAATTCCATGTCAACTATTCAACTCTCGAAAAGCATCCGCCTTGCGAAAGGTGGGTCGAATCTTGGCACAAGGTGGAATAATAGGAACTCCCACAGATACCGTGTATGCCATAGGAGCCTCCTGCAAACATCCCGAGTCCATCCGAAGACTCTACACAGTCAAGGAACGTCCTGCAACAAAACCCATCTGTCTGTGTCTGTCCAATCTGGATCAGTTGAAAGCAGCCAAGCCCGACTTCAGTCCTCTCCTTTGGAACTTCATGGAAAGATGCTACCCAGGTGGTATCAGCTGTGTTGTACCGAAAGGAGAATGGATGTACAATCTTGGTGTCGGTGATGCCTACGATATCGTTGGAACAAAGGACAACATATGCATCCGTGTTCCTGACAGTTCCGTCTTGGCCTACCTCGTGTCTGTGTCTGGTCCAATTGCCATCACATCGGGCAATCCCAGTGGAGGAGCTGACAGCATTCACCATGACATGCTTATCAATTCACTGGGTAGGTTCACGTTGTCAAATCAGGCTACTACATGGTGCATCATTCTACACTTTAGATGATCGCTTCAATAAATAGCCAACTTAAATGGGAATAATGTTAACAGCATAAAAAGTCACGGTGACTCTTGAAGCACTTATCTGGATACAATATATTGAAAGCGCAAGGAAATAGAATTTACTGAAGTGGATATGATTCCAATGATGTTATTACTTAAGATGAGAATCATTTGCAATTTCACTTTCTTTTGATACAATACGGGATTTCTTTTGCAGGCCATAAACTTGATGGCATGATCTGTGATGGCGATTCAAGAGAGCTGAGCGCATCAACAGTTGTCAACTGTATGAACATCGACCAAGGTATGTGTGACTCATGAGAAAAAACTTCTTTGCCACTCTGAATACATGAGGATGTCATTTGGAGTCCCAACCAAACTATTCGAGTGCTTTCTTTATGAGTACATTTTGTCAAATTGTAGCATTTCCTGGATACTTTACATAAGAGTGTAAGCGTTTTGCCAAGATATTTCTCAGCTGAGGCAAAGTCTAGTCGTTTGTAAGACTGAAATACTCTTTCTGTAAAACGAAAGCCACCCTGCTTGCATATTCTCTTCACATCAAATCCCCCCGTTTTTTTGCAGGTGAGATCACCTATTTTCGAGTTGGGTGCACACCACAGGAAATTGTGGACAAGCATTTGGAGGACGCCAAAGCAGAAATTGAAGGCAAAACAAGCTACCCTCCATGCACACTGTACGAGTCACGTAAATCCTCCGATCTAAGAGCTGCCGCTGCTATCCTGAGTGATGGTGGTGTGGTTGGAACTCCCACAGACACCGTGTATGCCATAGGAGCCTCCTGCAAACATCCTGAGTCCATCCGAAGACTCTACACAGTCAAGGAACGTCCTGCAACAAAACCCATCTGTCTGTGTCTGTCCAATCTGGATCAGTTGAAAGCAGCCAAGCCCGACTTCAGTCCTCTCCTTTGGAACTTCATGGAAAGATGCTACCCAGGTGGTATCAGCTGTGTTGTACCCAAAGGAGAATGGATGTACAATCTTGGTGTCGGTGATGCCTACGATATCGTTGGAACAAAGGACAACATATGCATCCGTGTTCCTGACAGTTCCGTCTTGGCCTACCTCGTGTCTGTGTCTGGTCCAATTGCCATCACATCGGGCAATCCCAGTGGAGGAGCTGACAGCATTCACCATGACATGCTTATCAATTCACTGGGTAGGTTCACGTTGTCAAATCAGGCTTCTACATGGTGCATCATTCTACACTTTAGATGATCGCTTCAATAAATAGCCAACTTAAATGGGAATAATGTTAACAGCATAAAAAGTCACGGTGACTCTTGAAGCACTTATCTGGATACAATATATTGAAAGCGCAAGGAAATAGAATTTACTGAAGTGGATATGATTCCAATGATGTTATTACTTAAGATGAGAATCATTTGCAATTTCACTTTCTTTTGATACAATACGGGATTTCTTTTGCAGGCCATAAACTTGATGGCATGATCTGTGATGGCGATTCAAGAGAGCTGAGCGCATCAACAGTTGTCAACTGTATGAACATCGACCAAGGTATGTGTGACTCATGAGAAAAAACTTCTTTGCCACTCTGAATACATGAGGATGTCATTTGGAGTCCCAACCAAACTATTCGAGTGCTTTCTTTATGAGTACATTTTGTCAAATTGTAGCATTTCCTGGATACTTTACATAAGAGTGTAAGCGTTTTGCCAAGATATTTCTCAGCTGAGGCAAAGTCTAGTCGTTTGTAAGACTGAAATACTCTTTCTGTAAAACGAAAGCCACCCTGCTTGCATATTCTCTTCACATCAAATCCCCCCGTTTTTTTGCAGGTGAGATCACCTATTTTCGAGTTGGGTGCACACCACAGGAAATTGTGGACAAGCATTTGGAGGACGCCAAAGCAGAAATTGAAGGCAAAACAAGCTACCCTCCATGCACACTGTACGAGTCACGTAAATCCTCCGATCTAAGAGCTGCCGCTGCTATCCTGAGTGATGGTGGTGTGGTTGGAACTCCCACAGACACCGTGTATGCCATAGGAGCCTCCTGCAAACATCCCGAGTCCATCCGAAGACTCTACACAGTCAAGGAACGTCCTGCAACAAAACCCATCTGTCTGTGTCTGTCCAATCTGGATCAGTTGAAAGCAGCCAAGCCCGACTTCAGTCCTCTCCTTTGGAACTTCATGGAAAGATGCTACCCAGGTGGTATCAGCTGTGTTGTACCCAAAGGAGAATGGATGTACAATCTTGGTGTCGGTGATGCCTACGATATCGTTGGAACAAAGGACAACATATGCATCCGTGTTCCTGACAGTTCCGTCTTGGCCTACCTCGTGTCTGTGTCTGGTCCAATTGCCATCACATCGGGCAATCCCAGTGGAGGAGCTGACAGCATTCACCATGACATGCTTATCAATTCACTGGGTAGGTTCACGTTGTCAAATCAGGCTACTACATGGTGCATCATTCTACACTTTAGATGATCGCTTCAATAAATAGCCAACTTAAATGGGAATAATGTTAACAGCATAAAAAGTCACGGTGACTCTTGAAGCACTTATCTGGATACAATATCTTGAAAGCGCAAGGAAATAGAATTTACTGAAGTGGATATGATTCCAATGATGTTATTACTTAAGATGAGAAACATGTGCAATTTCACTTTCTTTTGATACAATACGGGATTTCTTTTGCAGGCCATAAACTTGATGGCATGATCTGTGATGGCGATTCAAGAGAGCTGAGCGCATCAACAGTTGTCAACTGTATGAACATCGACCAAGGTATGTGTGACTCATGAGAAAAACTTCTTTGCCACTCTGAATACATGAGGATGTCATTTGGAGTCCCAACCAAACTATTCGAGTGCTGTTATTATGAGTACATTTTGTCAAACTGTAGCATTTCCTGGATATTTTACATAAGAATGTAAGCGTTTTGCCAAGATATTTCTCAGCTGAGGCAAAGTCCAGTCGTTTGTAAGACTGAAATACTCTTTCTGTAAAACGAAAGCCACCCTGCTTGCATATTCTCTTCACATCAAATCCCCCCGTTTTTTTGCAGGTGAGATCACCTATTTTCGAGTTGGGTGCACACCACAGGAAATTGTGGACAAGCATTTGGAGGACGCCAAAGCAGAAATTGAAGGCAAAACAAGCTACCCTCCATGCACACTGTACGAGTCACGTAAATCCTCCGATCTAAGAGCTGCCGCTGCTATCCTGAGTGATGGTGGTGTGGTTGGAACTCCCACAGACACCGTGTATGCCATAGGAGCCTCCTGCAAACATCCCGAGTCCATCCGAAGACTCTACACAGTCAAGGAACGTCCTGCAACAAAACCCATCTGTCTGTGTCTGTCCAATCTGGATCAGTTGAAAGCAGCCAAGCCCGACTTCAGTCCTCTCCTTTGGAACTTCATGGAAAGATGCTACCCAGGTGGTATCAGCTGTGTTGTACCCAAAGGAGAATGGATGTACAATCTTGGTGTCGGTGATGCCTACGATATCGTTGGAACAAAGGACAACATATGCATCCGTGTTCCTGACAGTTCCGTCTTGGCCTACCTCGTGTCTGTGTCTGGTCCAATTGCCATCACATCGGGCAATCCCAGTGGAGGAGCTGACAGCATTCACCATGACATGCTTATCAATTCACTGGGTAGGTTCACGTTGTCAAATCAGGCTTCTACATGGTGCATCATTCTACACTTTAGATGATCGCTTCAATAAATAGCCAACTTAAATGGGAATAATGTTAACAGCATAAAAAGTCACGGTGACTCTTGAAGCACTTATCTGGATAGAATATATTGAAAGCGCAAGGAAATAGAATTTACTGAAGTGGATATGATTCCAATGATGTTATTACTTAAGATGAGAATCATTTGCAATTTCACTTTCTTTTGATACAATACGGGATTTCTTTTGCAGGCCATAAACTTGATGGCATGATCTGTGATGGCGATTCAAGAGAGCTGAGCGCATCAACAGTTGTCAACTGTATGAACATCGACCAAGGTATGTGTGACTCATGAGAAAAAACTTCTTTGCCACTCTGAATACATGAGGATGTCATTTGGAGTCCCAACCAAACTATTCGAGTGCTTTCTTTATGAGTACATTTTGTCAAATTGTAGCATTTCCTGGATATTTTACATAAGAGTGTAAGCGTTTTGCCAAGATATTTCTCAGCTGAGGCAAAGTCCAGTCGTTTGTAAGACTGAATACTCTTTCTGTAAAACGAAAGCCACCCTGCTTGCATATTCTCTTCACATCAAATCCCCCCGTTTTTTTGCAGGTGAGATCACCTATTTTCGAGTTGGGTGCACACCACAGGAAATTGTGGACAAGCATTTGGAGGACGCCAAAGCAGAAATTGAAGGCAAAACAAGCTACCCTCCATGCACACTGTACGAGTCACGTAAATCCTCCGATCTAAGAGCTGCCGCTGCTATCCTGAGTGATGGTGGTGTGGTTGGAACTCCCACAGACACCGTGTATGCCATAGGAGCCTCCTGCAAACATCCTGAGTCCATCCGAAGACTCTACACAGTCAAGGAACGTCCTGCAACAAAACCCATCTGTCTGTGTCTGTCCAATCTGGATCAGTTGAAAGCAGCCAAGCCCGACTTCAGTCCTCTCCTTTGGAACTTCATGGAAAGATGCTACCCAGGTGGTATCAGCTGTGTTGTACCCAAAGGAGAATGGATGTACAATCTTGGTGTCGGTGATGCCTACGATATCGTTGGAACAAAGGACAACATATGCATCCGTGTTCCTGACAGTTCCGTCTTGGCCTACCTCGTGTCTGTGTCTGGTCCAATTGCCATCACATCGGGCAATCCCAGTGGAGGAGCTGACAGCATTCACCATGACATGCTTATCAATTCACTGGGTAGGTTCACGTTGTCAAATCAGGCTACCACTTGTTGCATCATTCTACACTTTAGATGATCGCTTCAATAAATAGCCAACTTAAATGGGAATAATGTTAACAGCATAAAAAGTCATGGTGACTCTTGAAGCACTTATCTGGCTACAATATCTTGAAAGCGCAAGGGAATAGAATTGACTGAAGTGGATATGATCCCAATGATGTTATTACTTAAGATGAGAAGCATGTGCAATTTCACTTTCTTTTGATACAATACGGGATTTCTTTTGCAGGCCATAAGCTTGATGGCATGATCTGTGATGGCGATTCAAGAGAGCTGAGCGCATCAACAGTTGTCAACTGTATGAACATCGACCAAGGTATGTGTGACTCATGAGAAAAACTTCTTTGCCACTCTGAATACATGAGGATGTCATTTGGAGTCCCAACCAAACTATTCGAGTGCTTTCATTATGAGTACATTTTGTCAAATTGTAGCATTTCCTGGATACTTTACATAAGAATGTAAGCGTTTTGCCAAGATATTTCTCAGCTGAGGCAAAGTCCAGTCGTTTGTAAGACTGAATACTCTTTCTGTAAAACGAAAGCCACCCTGCTTGCATATTCTCTTCACATCAAATCCCCCCGTTTTTTTGCAGGTGAGATCACCTATTTTCGAGTTGGGTGCACACCACAGGAAATTGTGGACAAGCATTTGGAGGACGCCAAAGCAGAAATTGAAGGCAAAACAAGCTACCCTCCATGCACACTGTACGAGTCAAATAAATCCTCCGATCTAAGAGCTGCCGCTGCTATCCTGAGTGATGGTGGTGTGGTTGGAACTCCCACAGACACCGTGTATGCCATAGGAGCCTCCTGCAAACATCCCGAGTCCATCCGAAGACTCTACACAGTCAAGGAACGTCCTGCAACAAAACCCATCTGTCTGTGTCTGTCCAATCTGGATCAGTTGAAAGCAGCCAAGCCCGACTTCAGTCCTCTCCTTTGGAACTTCATGGAAAGATGCTACCCAGGTGGTATCAGCTGTGTTGTACCCAAAGGAGAATGGATGTACAATCTTGGTGTCGGTGATGCCTACGATATCGTTGGAACAAAGGACAACATATGCATCCGTGTTCCTGACAGTTCCGTCTTGGCCTACCTCGTGTCTGTGTCTGGTCCAATTGCCATCACATCGGGCAATCCCAGTGGAGGAGCTGACAGCATTCACCATGACATGCTTATCAATTCACTGGGTAGGTTCACGTTGTCAAATCAGGCTTCTACATGGTGCATCATTCTACACTTTAGATGATCGCTTCAATAAATAGCCAACTTAAATGGGAATAATGTTAACAGCATAAAAAGTCATGGTGACTCTTGAAGCACTTATCTGGATACAATATATTGAAAGCGCAAGGAAATAGAATTTACTGAAGTGGATATGATTCCAATGATGTTATTACTTAAGATGAGAATCATTTGCAATTTCACTTTCTTTTGATACAATACGGGATTTCTTTTGCAGGCCATAAACTTGATGGCATGATCTGTGATGGCGATTCAAGAGAGCTGAGCGCATCAACAGTTGTCAACTGTATGAACATCGACCAAGGTATGTGTGACTCATGAGAAAAAACTTCTTTGCCACTCTGAATACATGAGGATGTCATTTGGAGTCCCAACCAAACTATTCGAGTGCTTTCTTTATGAGTACATTTTGTCAAATTGTAGCATTTCCTGGATACTTTACATAAGAGTGTAAGCGTTTTGCCAAGATATTTCTCAGCTGAGGCAAAGTCTAGTCGTTTGTAAGACTGAAATACTCTTTCTGTAAAACGAAAGCCACCCTGCTTGCATATTCTCTTCACATCAAATCCCCCCGTTTTTTTGCAGGTGAGATCACCTATTTTCGAGTTGGGTGCACACCACAGGAAATTGTGGACAAGCATTTGGAGGACGCCAAAGCAGAAATTGAAGGCAAAACAAGCTACCCTCCATGCACACTGTACGAGTCACGTAAATCCTCCGATCTAAGAGCCGCAGCTGCTATCCTGAGTGATGGTGGTGTGGTTGGAACTCCCACAGACACCGTGTATGCCATAGGAGCCTCCTGCAAACATCCCGAGTCCATCCGAAGACTCTACACAGTCAAGGAACGTCCTGCAACAAAACCCATCTGTCTGTGTCTGTCCAATCTGGATCAGTTGAAAGCAGCCAAGCCCGACTTCAGTCCTCTCCTTTGGAACTTCATGGAAAGATGCTACCCAGGTGGTATCAGCTGTGTTGTACCCAAAGGAGAATGGATGTACAATCTTGGTGTCGGTGATGCCTACGATATCGTTGGAACAAAGGACAACATCTGCATCCGTGTTCCTGACAGTTCCGTCTTGGCCTACCTCGTGTCTGTGTCTGGTCCAATTGCCATCACATCGGGCAATCCCAGTGGAGGAGCTGACAGCATTCACCATGACATGCTTATCAATTCACTGGGTAGGTTCACGTTGTCAAATCAGGCTACTACATGGTGCATCATTCTACACTTTAGATGATCGCTTCAATAAATAGCCAACTTAAATGGGAATAATGTTAACAGCATAAAAAGTCATGGTGACTCTTGAAGCACTTATCTGGATACAATATCTTGAAAGCGCAAGGAAATATAATTTACTGAAGTGGATATGATTCCAATGATGTTATTACTTAAGATGAGAAACATGTGCAATTTCACTTTCTTTTGATACAATACGGGATTTCTTTTGCAGGCCATAAACTTGATGGCATGATCTGTGATGGCGATTCAAGAGAGCTGAGCGCATCAACAGTTGTCAACTGTATGAACATCGACCAAGGTATGTGTGACTCATGAGAAAAACTTCTTTGCCACTCTGAATACATGAGGATGTCATTTGGAGTCCCAACCAAACTATTCGAGTGCTGTTATTATGAGTACATTTTGTCAAACTGTAGCATTTCCTGGATATTTTACATAAGAATGTAAGCGTTTTGCCAAGATATTTCTCAGCTGAGGCAAAGTCCAGTCGTTTGTAAGACTGAAATACTCTTTCTGTAAAACGAAAGCCACCCTGCTTGCATATTCTCTTCACATCAAATCCCCCCGTTTTTTTGCAGGTGAGATCACCTATTTTCGAGTTGGGTGCACACCACAGGAAATTGTGGACAAGCATTTGGAGGACGCCAAAGCAGAAATTGAAGGCAAAACAAGCTACCCTCCATGCACACTGTACGAGTCACGTAAATCCTCCGATCTAAGAGCTGCCGCTGCTATCCTGAGTGATGGTGGTGTGGTTGGAACTCCCACAGACACCGTGTATGCCATAGGAGCCTCCTGCAAACATCCTGAGTCCATCCGAAGACTCTACACAGTCAAGGAACGTCCTGCAACAAAACCCATCTGTCTGTGTCTGTCCAATCTGGATCAGTTGAAAGCAGCCAAGCCCGACTTCAGTCCTCTCCTTTGGAACTTCATGGAAAGATGCTACCCAGGTGGTATCAGCTGTGTTGTACCGAAAGGAGAATGGATGTACAATCTTGGTGTCGGTGATGCCTACGATATCGTTGGAACAAAGGACAACATATGCATCCGTGTTCCTGACAGTTCCGTCTTGGCCTACCTCGTGTCTGTGTCTGGTCCAATTGCCATCACATCGGGCAATCCCAGTGGAGGAGCTGACAGCATTCACCATGACATGCTTATCAATTCACTGGGTAGGTTCACGTTGTCAAATCAGGCTTCTACATGGTGCATCATTCTACACTTTAGATGATCGCTTCAATAAATAGCCAACTTAAATGGGAATAATGTTAACAGCATAAAAAGTCACGGTGACTCTTGAAGCACTTATCTGGATAGAATATATTGAAAGCGCAAGGAAATAGAATTTACTGAAGTGGATATGATTCCAATGATGTTATTACTTAAGATGAGAATCATTTGCAATTTCACTTTCTTTTGATACAATACGGGATTTCTTTTGCAGGCCATAAACTTGATGGCATGATCTGTGATGGCGATTCAAGAGAGCTGAGCGCATCAACAGTTGTCAACTGTATGAACATCGACCAAGGTATGTGTGACTCATGAGAAAAAACTTCTTTGCCACTCTGAATACATGAGGATGTCATTTGGAGTCCCAACCAAACTATTCGAGTGCTTTCTTTATGAGTACATTTTGTCAAATTGTAGCATTTCCTGGATACTTTACATAAGAGTGTAAGCGTTTTGCCAAGATATTTCTCAGCTGAGGCAAAGTCCAGTCGTTTGTAAGACTGAAATACTCTTTCTGTAAAACGAAAGCCACCCTGCTTGCATATTCTCTTCACATCAAATCCCCCCGTTTTTTTGCAGGTGAGATCACCTATTTTCGAGTTGGGTGCACACCACAGGAAATTGTGGACAAGCATTTGGAGGACGCCAAAGCAGAAATTGAAGGCAAAACAAGCTACCCTCCATGCACACTGTACGAGTCAAATAAATCCTCCGATCTAAGAGCTGCCGCTGCTATCCTGAGTGATGGTGGTGTGGTTGGAACTCCCACAGACACCGTGTATGCCATAGGAGCCTCCTGCAAACATCCCGAGTCCATCCGAAGACTCTACACAGTCAAGGAACGTCCTGCAACAAAACCCATCTGTCTGTGTCTGTCCAATCTGGATCAGTTGAAAGCAGCCAAGCCCGACTTCAGTCCTCTCCTTTGGAACTTCATGGAAAGATGCTACCCAGGTGGTATCAGCTGTGTTGTACCCAAAGGAGAATGGATGTACAATCTTGGTGTCGGTGATGCCTACGATATCGTTGGAACAAAGGACAACATATGCATCCGTGTTCCTGACAGTTCCGTCTTGGCCTACCTCGTGTCTGTGTCTGGTCCAATTGCCATCACATCGGGCAATCCCAGTGGAGGAGCTGACAGCATTCACCATGACATGCTTATCAATTCACTGGGTAGGTTCACGTTGTCAAATCAGGCTACCACTTGTTGCAGCATTCTACACTTTAGATGATCGCTTCAATAAATAGCCAACTTAAATGGGAATAATGTTAACAGCATAAAAAGTCATGGTGACTCTTGAAGCACTTATCTGGCTACAATATCTTGAAAGCGCAAGGGAATAGAATTGACTGAAGTGGATATGATCCCAATGATGTTATTACTTAAGATGAGAAGCATGTGCAATTTCATATTCTTTTGATACAATACGGGATTTCTTTTGCAGGCCATAAGCTTGATGGCATGATCTGTGATGGCGATTCAAGAGAGCTGAGCGCATCAACAGTTGTCAACTGTATGAACATCGACCAAGGTATGTGTGACTCATGAGAAAAACTTCTTTGCCACTCTGAATACATGAGGATGTCATTTGGAGTCCCAACCAAACTATTCGAGTGCTTTCATTATGAGTACATTTTGTCAAATTGTAGCATTTCCTGGATACTTTACATAAGAATGTAAGCGTTTTGCCAAGATATTTCTCAGCTGAGGCAAAGTCCAGTCGTTTGTAAGACTGAATACTCTTTCTGTAAAACGAAAGCCACCCTGCTTGCATATTCTCTTCACATCAAATCCCCCCGTTTTTTTGCAGGTGAGATCACCTATTTTCGAGTTGGGTGCACACCACAGGAAATTGTGGACAAGCATTTGGAGGACGCCAAAGCAGAAATTGAAGGCAAAACAAGCTACCCTCCATGCACACTGTACGAGTCAAATAAATCCTCCGATCTAAGAGCTGCCGCTGCTATCCTGAGTGATGGTGGTGTGGTTGGAACTCCCACAGACACCGTGTATGCCATAGGAGCCTCCTGCAAACATCCCGAGTCCATCCGAAGACTCTACACAGTCAAGGAACGTCCTGCAACAAAACCCATCTGTCTGTGTCTGTCCAATCTGGATCAGTTGAAAGCAGCCAAGCCCGACTTCAGTCCTCTCCTTTGGAACTTCATGGAAAGATGCTACCCAGGTGGTATCAGCTGTGTTGTACCCAAAGGAGAATGGATGTACAATCTTGGTGTCGGTGATGCCTACGATATCGTTGGAACAAAGGACAACATATGCATCCGTGTTCCTGACAGTTCCGTCTTGGCCTACCTCGTGTCTGTGTCTGGTCCAATTGCCATCACATCGGGCAATCCCAGTGGAGGAGCTGACAGCATTCACCATGACATGCTTATCAATTCACTGGGTAGGTTCACGTTGTCAAATCAGGCTTCTACATGGTGCATCATTCTACACTTTAGATGATCGCTTCAATAAATAGCCAACTTAAATGGGAATAATGTTAACAGCATAAAAAGTCATGGTGACTCTTGAAGCACTTATCTGGATAGAATATATTGAAAGCGCAAGGAAATAGAATTTACTGAAGTGGATATGATTCCAATGATGTTATTACTTAAGATGAGAATCATTTGCAATTTCACTTTCTTTTGATACAATACGGGATTTCTTTTGCAGGCCATAAACTTGATGGCATGATCTGTGATGGCGATTCAAGAGAGCTGAGCGCATCAACAGTTGTCAACTGTATGAACATCGACCAAGGTATGTGTGACTCATGAGAAAAAACTTCTTTGCCACTCTGAATACATGAGGATGTCATTTGGAGTCCCAACCAAACTATTCGAGTGCTTTCTTTATGAGTACATTTTGTCAAATTGTAGCATTTCCTGGATACTTTACATAAGAGTGTAAGCGTTTTGCCAAGATATTTCTCAGCTGAGGCAAAGTCTAGTCGTTTGTAAGACTGAAATACTCTTTCTGTAAAACGAAAGCCACCCTGCTTGCATATTCTCTTCACATCAAATCCCCCCGTTTTTTTGCAGGTGAGATCACCTATTTTCGAGTTGGGTGCACACCACAGGAAATTGTGGACAAGCATTTGGAGGACGCCAAAGCAGAAATTGAAGGCAAAACAAGCTACCCTCCATGCACACTGTACGAGTCACGTAAATCCTCCGATCTAAGAGCTGCCGCTGCTATCCTGAGTGATGGTGGTGTGGTTGGAACTCCCACAGACACCGTGTATGCCATAGGAGCCTCCTGCAAACATCCCGAGTCCATCCGAAGACTCTACACAGTCAAGGAACGTCCTGCAACAAAACCCATCTGTCTGTGTCTGTCCAATCTGGATCAGTTGAAAGCAGCCAAGCCCGACTTCAGTCCTCTCCTTTGGAACTTCATGGAAAGATGCTACCCAGGTGGTATCAGCTGTGTTGTACCCAAAGGAGAATGGATGTACAATCTTGGTGTCGGTGATGCCTACGATATCGTTGGAACAAAGGACAACATCTGCATCCGTGTTCCTGACAGTTCCGTCTTGGCCTACCTCGTGTCTGTGTCTGGTCCAATTGCCATCACATCGGGCAATCCCAGTGGAGGAGCTGACAGCATTCACCATGACATGCTTATCAATTCACTGGGTAGGTTCACGTTGTCAAATCAGGCTACTACATGGTGCATCATTCTACACTTTAGATGATCTCTTCAATAAATAGCCAACCTAAATGGGAATAATGTTAACAGCATAAAAAGTCATGGTGACTCTTGAAGCACTTATCTGGATACAATATCTTGAAAGCGCAAGGAAATAGAATTTACTGAAGTGGATATGATTCCAATGATGTTATTACTTAAGATGAGAAACATGTGCAATTTCACTTTCTTTTGATACAATACGGGATTTCTTTTGCAGGCCATAAACTTGATGGCATGATCTGTGATGGCGATTCAAGAGAGCTGAGCGCATCAACAGTTGTCAACTGTATGAACATCGACCAAGGTATGTGTGACTCATGAGAAAAACTTCTTTGCCACTCTGAATACATGAGGATGTCATTTGGAGTCCCAACCAAACTATTCGAGTGCTTTCTTTATGAGTACATTTTGTCAAATTGTAGCATTTCCTGGATACTTTACATAAGAGTGTAAGCGTTTTGCCAAGATATTTCTCAGCTGAGGCAAAGTCTAGTCATTTGTAAGACTGAATACTCTTTCTGTAAAACGAAAGCCACCCTGCTTGCATATTCTCTTCACATCAAATCCCCCCGTTTTTTTGCAGGTGAGATCACCTATTTTCGAGTTGGGTGCACACCACAGGAAATTGTGGACAAGCATTTGGAGGACGCCAAAGCAGAAATTGAAGGCAAAACAAGCTACCCTCCATGCACACTGTACGAGTCAAATAAATCCTCCGATCTAAGAGCTGCCGCTGCTATCCTGAGTGATGGTGGTGTGGTTGGAACTCCCACAGACACCGTGTATGCCATAGGAGCCTCCTGCAAACATCCCGAGTCCATCCGAAGACTCTACACAGTCAAGGAACGTCCTGCAACAAAACCCATCTGTCTGTGTCTGTCCAATCTGGATCAGTTGAAAGCAGCCAAGCCCGACTTCAGTCCTCTCCTTTGGAACTTCATGGAAAGATGCTACCCAGGTGGTATCAGCTGTGTTGTACCCAAAGGAGAATGGATGTACAATCTTGGGGTCGGTGATGCCTACGATATCGTTGGAACAAAGGACAACATATGCATCCGTGTTCCTGACAGTTCCGTCTTGGCCTACCTCGTGTCTGTGTCTGGTCCAATTGCCATCACATCGGGCAATCCCAGTGGAGGAGCTGACAGCATTCACCATGACATGCTTATCAATTCACTAGGTAGGTTCACGTTCTCAAATCAGGCTACCACTTGTTGCAGCATTCTACACTTTAGATGATCGCTTCAATAAATAGCCAAATTAAATGGGAATAATGTTAACAGCATAAAAAGTCATGGTGACTCTTGAAGCACTTATCTGGCTACAATATCTTGAAAGCGCAAGGGAATAGAATTGACTGAAGTGGATATGATCCCAATGATGTTATTACTTAAGATGAGAAGCATGTGCAATTTCACTTTCTTTTGATACAATACGGGATTTCTTTTGCAGGCCATAAGCTTGATGGCATGATCTGTGATGGCGATTCAAGAGAGCTGAGCGCATCAACAGTTGTCAACTGTATGAACATCGACCAAGGTATGTGTGACTCATGAGAAAGACTTCTTTGCCACTCTGAATACATGAGGATGTCATTTGGAGTCCCAACCAAACTATTCGAGTGTTGTCATTATGAGTACATTTTGTCAAATTGTAGCATGTCCTGGATGTGTAATAAAGAAAGTAAGCGTTTTGCCAAGATATTTCTAAGCTGAGGCAAAGTCCAGTCGTTTGTAATACCGAATCACTCTTTCTGTAAAACGAAAGCCACCCTGCTTGCATTTTCTCTTCACATCAAATGCCCCCTTGCTTTTGCAGGTGAGATCACCTATTTTCGAGTTGGGTGCACACCACAGGAAATTGTGGACAAACATTTGGAGGACGCCAAAGCAGAAATTGAAGGCAAAACAAGCTACCCTCCATGCACACTGTACGAGTCACGTAAATCCTCCGATCTAAGAGCTGCCGCTGCTATCCTGAGTGATGGTGGCGTGGTTGGAACTCCCACAGACACCGTGTATGCCATAGGAGCCTCCTGCAAACATCCCGAGTCCATCCGAAGACTCTACACAGTCAAGGAACGTCCTGCAACAAAACCCATCTGTCTGTGTCTGTCCAATCTGGATCAGTTGAAAGCAGCCAAGCCCGACTTCAGTCCTCTCCTTTGGAACTTCATGGAAAGATGCTACCCAGGTGGTATCAGCTGTGTTGTACCCAAAGGAGAATGGATGTACAATCTTGGTGTCGGTGATGCCTACGATATCGTTGGAACAAAGGACAACATCTGCATCCGTGTTCCTGACAGTTCCGTCTTGGCCTACCTCGTGTCTGTGTCTGGTCCAATTGCCATCACATCGGGCAATCCCAGTGGAGGAGCTGACAGCATTCACCATGACATGCTTATCAATTCACTAGGTAGGTTCACGTTCTCAAATCAGGCTACTACATGGTGCAGCATTCTACACCTTAGATGATCGCTTCAATAAAAAGCCAACTTAAATGGGAATAATGGTAACAGCATCAAAAGTCATGGTGACTCTTGAAGCACTTATCTGGCTACAATATCTTGAAAGCGCAAGGGAATAGAATTGACTGAAGTGGATATGATCCCAATGATGTTATTACTTAAGATGAGAAGCATGTGCAATTTCACTTTCTTTTGATACAATACGGGATTTCTTTTGCAGGCCATAAGCTTGATGGCATGATCTGTGATGGCGATTCAAGAGAGCTGAGCGCATCAACAGTTGTCAACTGTATGAACATCGACCAAGGTATGTGTGACTCATGAGAAAGACTTCTTTGCCACTCTGAATACATGAGGATGTCATTTGGAGTCCCAACCAAACTATTCGAGTGTTGTCATTATGAGTACATTTTGTCAAATTGTAGCATGTCCTGGATGTGTAATAAAGAAAGTAAGCGTTTTGCCAAGATATTTCTCAGCTGAGGCAAAGTCCAGTCGTTTGTAATACTGAATCACTCTTTCTGTAAAACGAAAGCCACCCTGCTTGCATTTTCTCTTCACATCAAATCCCCCCTTGCTTTTGCAGGTGAGATCACCTATTTTCGAGTTGGGTGCACACCACAGGAAATTGTGGACAAACATTTGGAGGACGCCAGAGCAGAAATTGAAGGCAAAACAAGCTACCCTCCATGCACACTGTACGAGTCACGTAAATCCTCCGATCTAAGAGCTGCCGCTGCTATCCTGAGTGATGGTGGCGTGGTTGGAACTCCCACAGACACCGTGTATGCCATAGGAGCCTCCTGCAAACATCCCGAGTCCATCCGAAGACTCTACACAGTCAAGGAACGTCCTGCAACAAAACCCATCTGTCTGTGTCTGTCCAATCTGGATCAGTTGAAAGCAGCCAAGCCCGACTTCAGTCCTCTCCTTTGGAACTTCATGGAAAGATGCTACCCAGGTGGTATCAGCTGTGTTGTACCCAAAGGAGAATGGATGTACAATCTTGGGGTCGGTGATGCTTACGATATCGTTGGAACAAAGGACAACATATGCATCCGTGTTCCTGACAGTTCCGTCTTGGCCTACCTCGTGTCTGTGTCTGGTCCAATTGCCATCACATCGGGCAATCCCAGTGGAGGAGCTGACAGCATTCACCATGACATGCTTATCAATTCACTAGGTAGGTTCACGTTCTCAAATCAGGCTACTACATGGTGCAGCATTCTACACCTTAGATGATCGCTTCAATAAAAAGCCAACTTAAATGGGAATAATGGTAACAGCATCAAAAGTCATGGTGACTCTTGAAGCACTTATCTGGCTACAATATCTTGAAAGCGGAAGGAAATAGAATTGACTGAAGTGGATATGATCCCAATGATGTTATTACTTAAGATGAGAAGCATGTGCAATTTCATATTCTTTTGATACAATACGGGATTTCTTTTGCAGGCCATAAGCTTGATGGCATGATCTGTGATGGCGATTCAAGAGAGCTGAGCGCATCAACAGTTGTCAACTGTATGAACATCGACCAAGGTATGTGTGACTCATGAGAAAAACTTCTTTGCCACTCTGAATACATGAGGATGTCATTTGGAGTCCCAACCAAACTATTCGAGTGTTGTCATTATGAGTACATTTTGTCAAATTGTAGCATTTCCTGGATGTGTAATAAAGAAAGTAAGCGTTTTGCCAAGATATTTCTAAGCTGAGGCAAAGTCCAGTCGTCTGTAATACCGAATCACTCTTTCTGTAAAACGAAAGCCACCCTGCTTGCATTTTCTCTTCACATCAAATCCCCCCTTGCTTTAGCAGGTGAGATCACCTATTTTCGAGTTGGGTGCACACCACAGGAAATTGTGGACAGACATTTGGAGGACGCCAAAGCAGAAATTGAAGGCAAAACAAGCTACCCTCCATGCACACTGTACGAGTCACGTAAATCCTCCGATCTAAGAGCTGCCGCTGCTATCCTGAGTGATGGTGGCGTGGTTGGAACTCCCACAGACACCGTGTATGCCATAGGAGCCTCCTGCAAACATCCCGAGTCCATCCGAAGACTCTACACAGTCAAGGAACGTCCTGCAACAAAACCCATCTGTCTGTGTCTGTCCAATCTGGATCAGTTGAAAGCAGCCAAGCCCGACTTCAGTCCTCTCCTTTGGAACTTCATGGAAAGATGCTACCCAGGTGGTATCAGCTGTGTTGTACCGAAAGGAGAATGGATGTACAATCTTGGGGTCGGTGATGCTTACGATATCGTTGGAACAAAGGACAACATATGCATCCGTGTTCCTGACAGTTCCGTCTTGGCCTACCTCGTGTCTGTGTCTGGTCCAATTGCCATCACATCGGGCAATCCCAGTGGAGGAGCTGACAGCATTCACCATGACATGCTTATCAATTCACTAGGTAGGTTCACGTTCTCAAATCAGGCTACTACATGGTGCAGCATTCTACACCTTAGATGATCGCTTCAATAAAAAGCCAACTTAAATGGGAATAATGTTAACAGCATCAAAAGTCATGGTGACTCTTGAAGCACTTATCTGGGTACAATATATTGAAAGCGGAAGGAAACAGAATTGACTGAAGTGAATATGATCCCAATGATGTTATTACTTAAGATGAGAAGCATGTGCAATTTCATATTCTTTTGATACAATACGGGATTTCTTTTGCAGGCCATAAACTTGATGGCATGATCTGTGATGGCGATTCAAGAGAGCTGAGCGCATCAACAGTTGTCAACTGTATGAACATCGACCAAGGTATGTGTGACTCATGAGAAAAACTTCTTTGCCACTCTGAATACATGAGGATGTCATTTGGAGTCCCAACCAAACTATTCGAGTGTTGTCATTATGAATACATTTTGTCAAATTGTAGCATGTCCTGGATGTGTAATAAAGAATGTAAGCGTTTTGCCAAGATATTTCTCAGCTAAGGCAAAGTCCAGTCGGTTGTAATACCGAATCACTCTTTCTGTAAAACGAAAGCCACCCTGCTTGCATTTTCTCTTCACATCAAATCCCCCCTTGCTTTTGCAGGTGAGATCACCTATTTTCGAGTTGGGTGCACACCACAGGAAATTGTGGACAAACATTTGGAGGACGCCAGAGCAGAAATTGAAGGCAAAACAAGCTACCCTCCATGCACACTGTACGAGTCACGTAAATCCTCCGATCTAAGAGCTGCCGCTGCTATCCTGAGTGATGGTGGCGTGGTTGGAACTCCCACAGACACCGTGTATGCCATAGGAGCCTCCTGCAAACATCCCCAGTCCATCCGAAGACTCTACACAGTCAAGGAACGTCCTGCAACAAAACCCATCTGTCTGTGTCTGTCCAATCTGGATCAGTTGAAAGCAGCCAAGCCCGACTTCAGTCCTCTCCTTTGGAACTTCATGGAAAGATGCTACCCAGGTGGTATCAGCTGTGTTGTACCCAAAGGAGAATGGATGTACAATCTTGGGGTCGGTGATGCTTACGATATCGTTGGAACAAAGGACAACATATGCATCCGTGTTCCTGACAGTTCCGTCTTGGCCTACCTCGTGTCTGTGTCTGGTCCAATTGCCATCACATCGGGCAATCCCAGTGGAGGAGCTGACAGCATTCACCATGACATGCTTATCAATTCACTAGGTAGGTTCACGTTCTCAAATCAGGCTGCTACATGGTGCAGCATTTTATACCTTAGATGATCGCTTCAATAAAAAGCCAACTTAAATGGGAATAATGTTAACAGCATCAAAAGTCATGGTGACTCTTGAAGCACTTATCTGGCTACAATATCTTGAAAGTGCAAGGAAATAGAATTTACTGAAGTGGATATGATCCCAATGATGTTATTACTTAAGATGAGAAGCATGTGCAATTTCACTTTCTTTTGATACAATACGGGATTTCTTTTGCAGGCCATAAGCTTGATGGCATGATCTGTGATGGCGATTCAAGAGAGCTGAGCGCATCAACAGTTGTCAACTGTATGAACATCGACCAAGGTATGTGTGACTCATGAGAAAGACTTCTTTGCCACTCTGAATACATGAGGATGTCATTTGGAGTCCCAACCAAACTATTCGAGTGTTGTCATTATGAGTACATTTTGTCAAATTGTAGCATGTCCTGGATGTGTAATAAAGAATGTAAGCGTTTTGCCAAGATATTTCTCAGCTAAGGCAAAGTCCAGTCGTTTGTAATACCGAATCACTCTTTCTGTAAAACGAAAGCCACCCTGCTTGCATTTTCTCTTCACATCAAATCCCCCCTTGCTTTTGCAGGTGAGATCACCTATTTTCGAGTTGGGTGCACACCACAGGAAATTGTGGACAAACATTTGGAGGACGCCAAAGCAGAAATTGAAGGCAAAACAAGCTACCCTCCATGCACACTGTACGAGTCAAATAAATCCTCCGATCTGAGAGCCGCAGCTGCTATCCTGAGTGATGGTGGCGTGGTTGGAACTCCCACAGACACCGTGTATGCCATAGGAGCCTCCTGCAAACATCCCGAGTCCATCCGAAGACTCTACACAGTCAAGGAACGTCCTGCAACAAAACCCATCTGTCTGTGTCTGTCCAATCTGGATCAGTTGAAAGCAGCCAAGCCCGACTTCAGTCCTCTCCTTTGGAACTTCATGGAAAGATGCTACCCAGGTGGTATCAGCTGTGTTGTACCCAAAGGAGAATGGATGTACAATCTTGGGGTCGGTGATGCTTACGATATCGTTGGAACAAAGGACAACATCTGCATCCGTGTTCCTGACAGTTCCGTCTTGGCCTACCTCGTGTCTGTGTCTGGTCCAATTGCCATCACATCGGGCAATCCCAGTGGAGGAGCTGACAGCATTCACCATGACATGCTTATCAATTCACTAGGTAGGTTCACGTTCTCAAATCAGGCTGCTACATGGTGCAGCATTTTATACCTTAGATGATCGCTTCAATAAAAAGCCAACTTAAATGGGAATAATGTTAACAGCATCAAAAGTCATGGTGACTCTTGAAGCACTTATCTGGCTACAATATCTTGAAAGTGCAAGGAAATAGAATTTACTGAAGTGGATATGATCCCAATGATGTTATTACTTAAGATGAGAAGCATGTGCAATTTCATATTCTTTTGATACAATACGGGATTTCTTTTGCAGGCCATAAACTTGATGGCATGATCTGTGATGGCGATTCAAGAGAGCTGAGCGCATCAACAGTTGTCAACTGTATGAACATCGACCAAGGTATGTGTGACTCATGAGAAAGACTTCTTTGCCACTCTGAATACATGAGGATGTCATTTGGAGTCCCAACCAAACTATTCGAGTGTTGTCATTATGAGTACATTTTGTCAAATTGTAGCATGTCCTGGATGTGTAATAAAGAATGGAAGCGTTTTGCCAAGATATTTCTCAGCTAAGGCAAAGTCCAGTCGTTTGTAATACCGAATCACTCTTTCTGTAAAACGAAAGCCACCCTGCTTGCATTTTCTCTTCACATCAAATCCCCCCTTGCTTTTGCAGGTGAGATCACCTATTTTCGAGTTGGGTGCACACCACAGGAAATTGTGGACAAACATTTGGAGGACGCCAAAGCAGAAATTGAAGGCAAAACAAGCTACCCTCCATGCACACTGTACGAGTCAAATAAATCCTCCGATCTGAGAGCCGCAGCTGCTATCCTGAGTGATGGTGGCGTGGTTGGAACTCCCACAGACACCGTGTATGCCATAGGAGCCTCCTGCAAACATCCCGAGTCCATCCGAAGACTCTACACAGTCAAGGAACGTCCTGCAACAAAACCCATCTGTCTGTGTCTGTCCAATCTGGATCAGTTGAAAGCAGCCAAGCCCGACTTCAGTCCTCTCCTTTGGAACTTCATGGAAAGATGCTACCCAGGTGGTATCAGCTGTGTTGTACCCAAAGGAGAATGGATGTACAATCTTGGGGTCGGTGATGCTTACGATATCGTTGGAACAAAGGACAACATATGCATCCGTGTTCCTGACAGTTCCGTCTTGGCCTACCTCGTGTCTGTGTCTGGTCCAATTGCCATCACATCGGGCAATCCCAGTGGAGGAGCTGACAGCATTCACCATGACATGCTTATCAATTCACTAGGTAGGTTCACGTTCTCAAATCAGGCTGCTACATGGTGCAGCATTTTATACCTTAGATGATCGCTTCAATAAAAAGCCAACTTAAATGGGAATAATGTTAACAGCATCAAAAGTCATGGTGACTCTTGAAGCACTTATCTGGCTACAATATCTTGAAAGTGCAAGGAAATAGAATTTACTGAAGTGGATATGATCCCAATGATGTTATTACTTAAGATGAGAAGCATGTGCAATTTCACTTTCTTTTGATACAATACGGGATTTCTTTTGCAGGCCATAAGCTTGATGGCATGATCTGTGATGGCGATTCAAGAGAGCTGAGCGCATCAACAGTTGTCAACTGTATGAACATCGACCAAGGTATGTGTGACTCATGAGAAAGACTTCTTTGCCACTCTGAATACATGAGGATGTCATTTGGAGTCCCAACCAAACTATTCGAGTGTTGTCATTATGAGTACATTTTGTCAAATTGTAGCATGTCCTGGATGTGTAATAAAGAATGTAAGCGTTTTGCCAAGATATTTCTCAGCTAAGGCAAAGTCCAGTCGTTTGTAATACCGAATCACTCTTTCTGTAAAACGAAAGCCACCCTGCTTGCATTTTCTCTTCACATCAAATCCCCCCTTGCTTTTGCAGGTGAGATCACCTATTTTCGAGTTGGGTGCACACCACAGGAAATTGTGGACAAACATTTGGAGGACGCCAAAGCAGAAATTGAAGGCAAAACAAGCTACCCTCCATGCACACTGTACGAGTCAAATAAATCCTCCGATCTGAGAGCCGCAGCTGCTATCCTGAGTGATGGTGGCGTGGTTGGAACTCCCACAGACACCGTGTATGCCATAGGAGCCTCCTGCAAACATCCCGAGTCCATCCGAAGACTCTACACAGTCAAGGAACGTCCTGCAACAAAACCCATCTGTCTGTGTCTGTCCAATCTGGATCAGTTGAAAGCAGCCAAGCCCGACTTCAGTCCTCTCCTTTGGAACTTCATGGAAAGATGCTACCCAGGTGGTATCAGCTGTGTTGTACCCAAAGGAGAATGGATGTACAATCTTGGGGTCGGTGATGCTTACGATATCGTTGGAACAAAGGACAACATCTGCATCCGTGTTCCTGACAGTTCCGTCTTGGCCTACCTCGTGTCTGTGTCTGGTCCAATTGCCATCACATCGGGCAATCCCAGTGGAGGAGCTGACAGCATTCACCATGACATGCTTATCAATTCACTAGGTAGGTTCACGTTCTCAAATCAGGCTGCTACATGGTGCAGCATTTTATACCTTAGATGATCGCTTCAATAAAAAGCCAACTTAAATGGGAATAATGTTAACAGCATCAAAAGTCATGGTGACTCTTGAAGCACTTATCTGGCTACAATATCTTGAAAGTGCAAGGAAATAGAATTTACTGAAGTGGATATGATCCCAATGATGTTATTACTTAAGATGAGAAGCATGTGCAATTTCATATTCTTTTGATACAATACGGGATTTCTTTTGCAGGCCATAAACTTGATGGCATGATCTGTGATGGCGATTCAAGAGAGCTGAGCGCATCAACAGTTGTCAACTGTATGAACATCGACCAAGGTATGTGTGACTCATGAGAAAGACTTCTTTGCCACTCTGAATACATGAGGATGTCATTTGGAGTCCCAACCAAACTATTCGAGTGTTGTCATTATGAGTACATTTTGTCAAATTGTAGCATGTCCTGGATGTGTAATAAAGAATGGAAGCGTTTTGCCAAGATATTTCTCAGCTAAGGCAAAGTCCAGTCGTTTGTAATACCGAATCACTCTTTCTGTAAAACGAAAGCCACCCTGCTTGCATTTTCTCTTCACATCAAATCCCCCCTTGCTTTTGCAGGTGAGATCACCTATTTTCGAGTTGGGTGCACACCACAGGAAATTGTGGACAAACATTTGGAGGACGCCAAAGCAGAAATTGAAGGCAAAACAAGCTACCCTCCATGCACACTGTACGAGTCAAATAAATCCTCCGATCTGAGAGCCGCAGCTGCTATCCTGAGTGATGGTGGCGTGGTTGGAACTCCCACAGACACCGTGTATGCCATAGGAGCCTCCTGCAAACATCCCGAGTCCATCCGAAGACTCTACACAGTCAAGGAACGTCCTGCAACAAAACCCATCTGTCTGTGTCTGTCCAATCTGGATCAGTTGAAAGCAGCCAAGCCCGACTTCAGTCCTCTCCTTTGGAACTTCATGGAAAGATGCTACCCAGGTGGTATCAGCTGTGTTGTACCCAAAGGAGAATGGATGTACAATCTTGGGGTCGGTGATGCTTACGATATCGTTGGAACAAAGGACAACATCTGCATCCGTGTTCCTGACAGTTCCGTCTTGGCCTACCTCGTGTCTGTGTCTGGTCCAATTGCCATCACATCGGGCAATCCCAGTGGAGGAGCTGACAGCATTCACCATGACATGCTTATCAATTCACTAGGTAGGTTCACGTTCTCAAATCAGGCTGCTACATGGTGCAGCATTTTATACCTTAGATGATCGCTTCAATAAAAAGCCAACTTAAATGGGAATAATGTTAACAGCATCAAAAGTCATGGTGACTCTTGAAGCACTTATCTGGCTACAATATCTTGAAAGTGCAAGGAAATAGAATTTACTGAAGTGGATATGATCCCAATGATGTTATTACTTAAGATGAGAAGCATGTGCAATTTCACTTTCTTTTGATACAATACGGGATTTCTTTTGCAGGCCATAAGCTTGATGGCATGATCTGTGATGGCGATTCAAGAGAGCTGAGCGCATCAACAGTTGTCAACTGTATGAACATCGACCAAGGTATGTGTGACTCATGAGAAAGACTTCTTTGCCACTCTGAATACATGAGGATGTCATTTGGAGTCCCAACCAAACTATTCGAGTGTTGTCATTATGAGTACATTTTGTCAAATTGTAGCATGTCCTGGATGTGTAATAAAGAATGTAAGCGTTTTGCCAAGATATTTCTCAGCTAAGGCAAAGTCCAGTCGTTTGTAATACCGAATCACTCTTTCTGTAAAACGAAAGCCACCCTGCTTGCATTTTCTCTTCACATCAAATCCCCCCTTGCTTTTGCAGGTGAGATCACCTATTTTCGAGTTGGGTGCACACCACAGGAAATTGTGGACAAACATTTGGAGGACGCCAAAGCAGAAATTGAAGGCAAAACAAGCTACCCTCCATGCACACTGTACGAGTCAAATAAATCCTCCGATCTGAGAGCCGCAGCTGCTATCCTGAGTGATGGTGGCGTGGTTGGAACTCCCACAGACACCGTGTATGCCATAGGAGCCTCCTGCAAACATCCCGAGTCCATCCGAAGACTCTACACAGTCAAGGAACGTCCTGCAACAAAACCCATCTGTCTGTGTCTGTCCAATCTGGATCAGTTGAAAGCAGCCAAGCCCGACTTCAGTCCTCTCCTTTGGAACTTCATGGAAAGATGCTACCCAGGTGGTATCAGCTGTGTTGTACCCAAAGGAGAATGGATGTACAATCTTGGGGTCGGTGATGCTTACGATATCGTTGGAACAAAGGACAACATCTGCATCCGTGTTCCTGACAGTTCCGTCTTGGCCTACCTCGTGTCTGTGTCTGGTCCAATTGCCATCACATCGGGCAATCCCAGTGGAGGAGCTGACAGCATTCACCATGACATGCTTATCAATTCACTAGGTAGGTTCACGTTCTCAAATCAGGCTGCTACATGGTGCAGCATTTTATACCTTAGATGATCGCTTCAATAAAAAGCCAACTTAAATGGGAATAATGTTAACAGCATCAAAAGTCATGGTGACTCTTGAAGCACTTATCTGGCTACAATATCTTGAAAGTGCAAGGAAATAGAATTTACTGAAGTGGATATGATCCCAATGATGTTATTACTTAAGATGAGAAGCATGTGCAATTTCACTTTCTTTTGATACAATACGGGATTTCTTTTGCAGGCCATAAGCTTGATGGCATGATCTGTGATGCCGATTCAAGAGAGCTGAGCGCATCAACAGTTGTCAACTGTATGAACATCGACCAAGGTATGTGTGACTCATGAGAAAGACTTCTTTGCCACTCTGAATACATGAGGATGTCATTTGGAGTCCCAACCAAACTATTCGAGTGTTGTCATTATGAGTACATTTTGTCAAATTGTAGCATGTCCTGGATGTGTAATAAAGAATGTAAGCGTTTTGCCAAGATATTTCTCAGCTAAGGCAAAGTCCAGTCGTTTGTAATACCGAATCACTCTTTCTGTAAAACGAAAGCCACCCTGCTTGCATTTTCTCTTCACATCAAATCCCCCCTTGCTTTTGCAGGTGAGATCACCTATTTTCGAGTTGGGTGCACACCACAGGAAATTGTGGACAAACATTTGGAGGACGCCAAAGCAGAAATTGAAGGCAAAACAAGCTACCCTCCATGCACACTGTACGAGTCAAATAGATCCTCCGATCTGAGAGCCGCAGCTGCTATCCTGAGTGATGGTGGCGTGGTTGGAACTCCCACAGACACCGTGTATGCCATAGGAGCCTCCTGCAAACATCCCGAGTCCATCCGAAGACTCTACACAGTCAAGGAACGTCCTGCAACAAAACCCATCTGTCTGTGTCTGTCCAATCTGGATCAGTTGAAAGCAGCCAAGCCCGACTTCAGTCCTCTCCTTTGGAACTTCATGGAAAGATGCTACCCAGGTGGTATCAGCTGTGTTGTACCCAAAGGAGAATGGATGTACAATCTTGGGGTCGGTGATGCTTACGATATCGTTGGAACAAAGGACAACATATGCATCCGTGTTCCTGACAGTTCCGTCTTGGCCTACCTCGTGTCTGTGTCTGGTCCAATTGCCATCACATCGGGCAATCCCAGTGGAGGAGCTGACAGCATTCACCATGACATGCTTATCAATTCACTAGGTAGGTTCACGTTCTCAAATCAGGCTGCTACATGGTGCAGCATTTTATACCTTAGATGATCGCTTCAATAAAAAGCCAACTTAAATGGGAATAATGGTAACAGCATCAAAAGTCACGTCGACTCTTGAAGCACTTATCTGGCTACAATATCTTGAAAGTGCAAGGAAATAGAATTTACTGAAGTGGATATGATCCCAATGATGTTATTATTTAAGATGAGAAGCATGTGCAATTTCATATTCTTTTGATACAATACGGGATTTCTTTTGCAGGCCATAAGCTTGATGGCATGATCTGTGATGGCGATTCAAGAGAGCTGAGCGCATCAACAGTTGTCAACTGTATGAACATCGACCAAGGTATGTGTGACTCATGAGAAAGACTTCTTTGCCACTCTGAATACATGAGGATGTCATTTGGAGTCCCAACCAAACTATTCGAGTGTTGTCATTATGAGTACATTTTGTCAAATTGTAGCATGTCCTGGATGTGTAATAAAGAATGTAAGCGTTTTGCCAAGATATTTCTAAGCTGAGGCAAAGTCCAGTCGTTTGTAATACTGAATCACTCTTTCTGTAAAACGAAAGCCACCCTGCTTGCATTTTCTCTTCACATCAAATCCCCCCTTGCTTTTGCAGGTGAGATCACCTATTTTCGAGTTGGGTGCACACCACAGGAAATTGTGGACAAGCATTTGGAGGACGCCAAAGCAGAAATTGAAGGCAAAACAAGCTACCCTCCATGCACACTGTACGAGTCAAATAAATCCTCCGATCTGAGAGCCGCAGCTGCTATCCTGAGTGATGGTGGTGTGGTTGGAACTCCCACAGACACCGTGTATGCCATAGGAGCCTCCTGCAAACATCCCGAGTCCATCCGAAGACTCTACACAGTCAAGGAACGTCCTGCAACAAAACCCATCTGTCTGTGTCTGTCCAATCTGGATCAGTTGAAAGCAGCCAAGCCCGACTTCAGTCCTCTCCTTTGGAACTTCATGGAAAGATGCTACCCAGGTGGTATCAGCTGTGTTGTACCCAAAGGAGAATGGATGTACAATCTTGGGGTCGGTGATGCTTACGATATCGTTGGAACAAAGGACAACATCTGCATCCGTGTTCCTGACAGTTCCGTCTTGGCCTACCTCGTGTCTGTGTCTGGTCCAATTGCCATCACATCGGGCAATCCCAGTGGAGGAGCTGACAGCATTCACCATGACATGCTTATCAATTCACTGGGTAGGTTCACGTTCTCAAATCAGGCTGCTACATGGTGCAGCATTTTATACCTTAGATGATCGCTTCAATAAAAAGCCAACTTAAATGGGAATAATGGTAACAGCATCAAAAGTCACGGTGACTCTTGAAGCACTTATCTGGCTACAATATCTTGAAAGTGCAAGGAAATAGAATTTACTGAAGTGGATATGATCCCAATGATGTTATTACTTAAGATGAGAAGCATGTGCAATTTCACTTTCTTTTGATACAATACGGGATTTCTTTTGCAGGCCATAAGCTTGATGGCATGATCTGTGATGGCGATTCAAGAGAGCTGAGCGCATCAACAGTTGTCAACTGTATGAACATCGACCAAGGTATGTGTGACTCATGAGAAAGACTTCTTTGCCACTCTGAATACATGAGGATGTCATTTGGAGTCCCAACCAAACTATTCGAGTGTTGTCATTATGAGTACATTTTGTCAAATTGTAGCATGTCCTGGATGTGTAATAAAGAATGTAAGCGTTTTGCCAAGATATTTCTAAGCTGAGGCAAAGTCCAGTCGTTTGTAATACTGAATCACTCTTTCTGTAAAACGAAAGCCACCCTGCTTGCATTTTCTCTTCACATCAAATCCCCCCTTGCTTTTGCAGGTGAGATCACCTATTTTCGAGTTGGGTGCACACCACATGAAATTGTGGACAAACATTTGGAGGACGCCAAAGCAGAAATTGAAGGCAAAACAAGCTACCCTCCATGCACACTGTACGAGTCAAATAAATCCTCCGATCTGAGAGCCGCAGCTGCTATCCTGAGTGATGGTGGTGTGGTTGGAACTCCCACAGACACCGTGTATGCCATAGGAGCCTCCTGCAAACATCCCGAGTCCATCCGAAGACTCTACACAGTCAAGGAACGTCCTGCAACAAAACCCATCTGTCTGTGTCTGTCCAATCTGGATCAGTTGAAAGCAGCCAAGCCCGACTTCAGTCCTCTCCTTTGGAACTTCATGGAAAGATGCTACCCAGGTGGTATCAGCTGTGTTGTACCCAAAGGAGAATGGATGTACAATCTTGGGGTCGGTGATGCTTACGATATCGTTGGAACAAAGGACAACATCTGCATCCGTGTTCCTGACAGTTCCGTCTTGGCCTACCTCGTGTCTGTGTCTGGTCCAATTGCCATCACATCGGGCAATCCCAGTGGAGGAGCTGACAGCATTCACCATGACATGCTTATCAATTCACTAGGTAGGTTCACGTTCTCAAATCAGGCTGCTACATGGTGCAGCATTTTATACCTTAGATGATCGCTTCAATAAAAAGCCAACTTAAATGGGAATAATGGTAACAGCATCAAAAGTCACGGTGACTCTTGAAGCACTTATCTGGCTACAATATCTTGAAAGTGCAAGGAAATAGAATTTACTGAAGTGGATATGATCCCAATGATGTTATTACTTAAGATGAGAAGCATGTGCAATTTCACTTTCTTTTGATACAATACGGGATTTCTTTTGCAGGCCATAAGCTTGATGGCATGATCTGTGATGGCGATTCAAGAGAGCTGAGCGCATCAACAGTTGTCAACTGTATGAACATCGACCAAGGTATGTGTGACTCATGAGAAAGACTTCTTTGCCACTCTGAATACATGAGGATGTCATTTGGAGTCCCAACCAAACTATTCGAGTGTTGTCATTATGAGTACATTTTGTCAAATTGTAGCATGTCCTGGATGTGTAATAAAGAATGTAAGCGTTTTGCCAAGATATTTCTAAGCTGAGGCAAAGTCCAGTCGTTTGTAATACTGAATCACTCTTTCTGTAAAACGAAAGCCACCCTGCTTGCATTTTCTCTTCACATCAAATCCCCCCTTGCTTTTGCAGGTGAGATCACCTATTTTCGAGTTGGGTGCACACCACATGAAATTGTGGACAAGCATTTGGAGGACGCCAAAGCAGAAATTGAAGGCGAAACAAGCTACCCTCCATGCACACTGTACGAGTCAAATAAATCCTCCGATCTGAGAGCCGCAGCTGCTATTCTGAGTAATGGTGGTGTGGTTGGAACTCCCACAGACACCGTGTATGCCATAGGAGCCTCCTGCAAACATCCCGAGTCCATCCGAAGACTCTACACAGTCAAGGAACGTCCTGCAACAAAACCCATCTGTCTGTGTCTGTCCAATCTGGATCAGTTGAAAGCAGCCAAGCCCGACTTCAGTCCTCTCCTTTGGAACTTCATGGAAAGATGCTACCCAGGTGGTATCAGCTGTGTTGTACCCAAAGGAGAATGGATGTACAATCTTGGGGTCGGTGATGCTTACGATATCGTTGGAACAAAGGACAACATCTGCATCCGTGTTCCTGACAGTTCCGTCTTGGCCTACCTCGTGTCTGTGTCTGGTCCAATTGCCATCACATCGGGCAATCCCAGTGGAGGAGCTGACAGCATTCACCATGACATGCTTATCAATTCACTGGGTAGGTTCACGTTCTCAAATCAGGCTACTACATGGTGCAGCATTCTACACCTTAGATGATCGCTTCAATAAAAAGCCAACTTAAATGGGAATAATGTTAACAGCATCAAAAGTCACGGTGACTCTTGAAGCACTTATCTGGCTACAATATCTTGAAAGCGCAAGGTAATAGAATTGACTGAAGTGGATATGATCCCAATGATGTTATTACTTTAGATGAGAAGCATGTGCAATTTCACTTTCTTTTGATACAATACGGGATTTCTTTTGCAGGCCATAAGCTTGATGGCATGATCTGTGATGGCGATTCAAGAGAGCTGAGCGCATCAACAGTTGTCAACTGTATGAACATCGACCAAGGTATGTGTGACTCATGAGAAAGACTTCTTTGCCACTCTGAATACATGAGGATGTCATTTGGAGTCCCAACCAAACTATTCGAGTGTTGTCATTATGAGTACATTTTGTCAAATTGTAGCATGTCCTGGATGTGTAATAAAGAATGTAAGCGTTTTGCCAAGATATTTTTCAGCTGAGGCAAAGTCCAGTCGTTTGTAATACTGAATCACTCTTTCTGTAAAACGAAAGCAACCCTGCTTGCATTTTCTCTTCACATCAAATCCCCCCTTGCTTTTGCAGGTGAGATCACCTATTTTCGAGTTGGGTGCACACCACATGAAATTGTGGACAAGCATTTGGAGGACGCCAAAGCAGAAATTGAAGGCAAAACAAGCTACCCTCCATGCACACTGTACGAGTCAAATAAATCCTCCGATCTGAGAGCCGCCGCTGCTATTCTGAGTAATGGTGGTGTGGTTGGAACTCCCACAGACACCGTGTATGCCATAGGAGCCTCCTGCAAACATCCCGAGTCCATCCGAAGACTCTACACAGTCAAGGAACGTCCTGCAACAAAACCCATCTGTCTGTGTCTGTCCAATCTGGATCAGTTGAAAGCAGCCAAGCCCGACTTCAGTCCTCTCCTTTGGAACTTCATGGAAAGATGCTACCCAGGTGGTATCAGCTGTGTTGTACCCAAAGGAGAATGGATGTACAATCTTGGGGTCGGTGATGCTTACGATATCGTTGGAACAAAGGACAACATCTGCATCCGTGTTCCTGACAGTTCCGTCTTGGCCTACCTCGTGTCTGTGTCTGGTCCAATTGCCATCACATCGGGCAATCCCAGTGGAGGAGCTGACAGCATTCACCATGACATGCTTATCAATTCACTGGGTAGGTTCACGTTCTCAAATCAGGCTACTACATGGTGCAGCATTCTACACCTTAGATGATCGCTTCAATAAAAAGCCAACTTAAATGGGAATAATGGTAACAGCATCAAAAGTCACGGTGACTCTTGAAGCACTTATCTGGCTACAATATCTTGAAAGTGCAAGGAAATAGAATTTACTGAAGTGGATATGATCCCAATGATGTTATTACTTAAGATGAGAAGCATGTGCAATTTCATATTCTTTTGATACAATACGGGATTTCTTTTGCAGGCCATAAGCTTGATGGCATGATCTGTGATGGCGATTCAAGAGAGCTGAGCGCATCAACAGTTGTCAACTGTATGAACATCGACCAAGGTATGTGTGACTCATGAGAAAGACTTCTTTGCCACTCTGAATACATGAGGATATCATTTGGAGTCCCAACCAAACTATTCGAGTGTTGTCATTATGAGTACATTTTGTCAAATTGTAGCATGTCCTGGATGTGTAATAAAGAATGTAAGCGTTTTGCCAAGATATTTCTCAGCTAAGGCAAAGTCCAGTCGTTTGTAATACTGAATCACTCTTTCTGTAAAACGAAAGCCACCCTGCTTGCATTTTCTCTTCACATCAAATCCCCCCTTGCTTTTGCAGGTGAGATCACCTATTTTCGAGTTGGGTGTACACCACATGAAATTGTGGACAAGCATTTGGAGGACGCCAAAGCAGAAATTGAAGGCAAAACAAGCTACCCTCCATGCACACTGTACGAGTCAAATAAATCCTCCGATCTGAGAGCCGCCGCTGCTATTCTGAGTAATGGTGGTGTGGTTGGAACTCCCACAGACACCGTGTATGCCATAGGAGCCTCCTGCAAACATCCCGAGTCCATCCGAAGACTCTACACAGTCAAGGAACGTCCTGCAACAAAACCCATCTGTCTGTGTCTGTCCAGCCTGGATCAGTTGAAAGCAGCCAAGCCCAACTTCAGTCCTCTCCTTTGGAACTTCATGGAAAGATGCTACCCAGGTGGTATCAGCTGTGTTGTACCCAAAGGAGAATGGATGTACAATCTTGGGGTCGGTGATGCCTACGATATCGTTGGAACAAAGGACAACATCTGCATCCGCATTCCTGACAGTTCCGTCTTGGCCTACCTCGTGTCTGTGTCTGGTCCAATTGCCATCACATCGGGCAATCCCAGTGGAGGAGCTGACAGCACTCACCACGACATGCTTATCAACTCCCTTGGTTCGTCACAGTTGTGTCTTTTTGCAATTGCTGTTGATTTGTGTGTGTTGCATCATTTGTAATGGATCACCTGGTGTTATTTCTATTTAAAACATTTTGTAAACAAAATATCCACTTCAGATTCAAGATGTTAATACTGCTTGTCTTTCTGCAGGTCATAAACTTGATGCTGTCCTTTGTGATGGGGAATCGGATGAAAAATCAGCATCTACAGTAGTTAACTGTATGAACATCGACCAAGGTAATGGATCTTTGTGTATGTAAAATATGTAAGAATAAATATATAATCCCTTTTGTGATTTAGAATCTTACTTTTATAGTCCTTTAGAACTTGCATATCTATTCTTCCTGCATTTATTAACGTTTTTCCTCAAAACTCTAGACTTTCTATTCTTTTTATTCACAGGTGACATCAGTTTCTTCCGGGTAGGATGTACCCCGCGCAATGTCGTCCACCGGCATCTGAGAGACGCAAAGGCTGATATTTTCGGAAAGAAATATGTCTTAGAGAAAATGGTCCCTTTGTTTATGATGCAAGGAGGGGCATAGCATCTAACACATAAAGGGGAGATGCGTGTCTCTGTGCGTATGCGTGTGAGTGTGCGTGTGCGTGTGAGTGTGTGCGTCTGTGTCTGTGTGTCTGTTTCCTTGTGGTCACTGGGTGTCCTTCACAACAGATTAAAAACAAGTTTCATTTGAGACCTTAGCAGCCTACGTCACTGGACTGAAGGAACTTTATTAGTCGTTAAATTTCGAAATTGAAGAAGATTTTCATGTGTTATGGGGTTAAATTAGCTGAATGTTAATCGCAATAACGCCAGGGAGGAAACACAGTTATGGGCACTAGTATATGTTTCATTAATGGATATACTTGACCTCATAAATGTTCTGAAGGATATCAGGTGATCGCTTTAGAAGTTCGGGTATGGATTTTGTACTCAACTCATTGATTTTATACTTCATTTGTTTCTGTTATTTTGTTCTTTTTCATAACTGGTTCATGGTTGACATGTGATGTGTTGTTATCGAGTTAATGCACTGAAAATCAGGAAAAATAGAAATACACTGATACATCGAATCGGTATATCACTTTAATTACAAACCGTCGACACCGAACATAAAGTAATAGTCACAGTCTTATAAAAGCATTCGTTCATTGACTAAAAGTAGTGTATTGTTTTTCATTTTTAATTAAAATTGCCTTCTCATGCTGGGACGTTTTTATGTGAATGATGAAAATGTGTACCTTCTAGTGATTTACTTCATTGTTATTCACATGTAATGTATATTTGTTTATCAACATTGTGTTAGAAGTTATAGAACTTTTTCATTGGTCTAATTCATTTATTTTCTCTCTTTAATATTCAACATATTAATTCGGCATCCGGTATGCATTGATTTATTCGTGTTCATTGTCTTGTACCTATCGTCCTTAGTGTGCATAACCACTTCATTCCGTGTAACACAGATGCACCACGTAGCAATCTGGTTCATGTATATATCATCGATCGCTACATTAGAGGTTGCTATAGCAGTGAATACCTGCCATAATGTCTTGTACATAAAGAATTACAGTATTATTGTTCATCTTTTGTTTCTTGCATATGATGTATTGAATTTGAATAAAGGTATTGTACATAATAACAGTTCTGCAACTTGTCCAGTTACTCCTATATACCATTTTATAAAAGCGATAAACCCCTTTCCATGGCCATAATGAGTCCATTGTAGGATTCCGACTGTATCACGAGCATGTGTTAACGAATCACTCTCAAATAGTGGCGAAAAATACCAGGTGTTCGCGAAAAGGTGAGCCACACCGGTGGCACTCATAGTAAACCCAGACAAAGGCAAGTGTCAACTGTTTACCTGAACAAAAACACGGGAACATATTTTACAAGTCAAAATAGGGAATTGCATCGGACATCCTGTTTTTCATTGATGCGTCAGATTTGGAAATGTCCTCCACATGTCTACCATAAGAAAAAATGAAAGCTTTTCTGAGTCCTTGAATGTTGTAACCTTGATCAAACAATTTTTCAGCAACAAACGTATGACCCTCTTTGAAATCTACTTTAAAAAAAGGTGTGCTCGATTGTACCTCAAAGGTGAAATGTAGACACCAAAGGCTTGAGCTGCTGGTGCTGATTGAGCTGCTGAAATATTGCACCACATAAAGGTAAAATTGACTTCTGGAAAGTTGAAGTCATCCTTCTTGTCTTACAGTCTTGTTGGGAGTGTTTTGTCACTCTGAATCTTTGTGCATAAATCTAAACGTGAAACAGAAGAGGTGGTCCCACTGTCTCCTTTATTTCTAGATCACGTGAGTAAATCAGGGAAGGGACTTGATATTTGGTAGTTATTAAACGATATCAGATCAGAAATTAGCTCTACGAAACTAAACGCAACAAAACCCTTTTCATAATCATAACAAATCTCCATAGTCCGTTGTACGATTCCCACTATATTGTAAGCATGTGTTAAATGAATCACTATCAAATTAAGATGGTACCAAGTGTTCGCGAAAAGGGGAGCGTATCCTGTCCCACAGGTAGCCCCGTCACAAACACAAGTCATGCAAAAGCAAGTCAACTGTTCACCTGAAATAATACGGGAGCACAAGGCACAGGCCAAAATACGGAATTGCATCGGACATCATTTTTGTCACTGATCCGTCAAATTTGGAAATGTCCTCCCCATGTCCGGACAAAGTAGCTATGTCTATTATAAAAACGTTTGGAAAGCTAAACATGAAGTTCGACCCCTTATTCATATGCTTTGTGTTACTTGTTAGTTTGGGTTTCAGTTACTATCGTTAATTTAAGAAAAGGTCAGTCGTGCCTTGATATGTCAGACGTGATATGAATACACCATTGTTTTTCAACCCATTCCATAACTAAGAACATATGTGTGTGACTTCGCGGTGCAGAGTTGCGTCCCTTTGGCGTGTCAGAAACCTATGATCGTAGGCTCAAATCCCAGATTCTCCCTGTTTATGTTTCTAGTTTTGTCAGCACCATTACCCACGGGTTTCACCGAAGTGGTAAACGTCTCAGACCTGCATCACTTCGGGCTTTCCCGCCACTTCAAGCCCCCACGCCGTGATGTAATTGAAATGTAGCTGGAATATTGCTGAGTGTGGCGTTAAACAAACAAATACTGGGGCGTTAGGGGGCGTTCACAGGGGCGTTAAACCAAAATTCACTCACTCACTCCGTTTTCATCAAAGAATGTCGACCCATGACAATTAATTCCGCTAACAGGAACAAAGGGTGACTGAGAAAGGGAGTTTGTTTGTTTGTTTGCTTGTTTGTTTGTTTGTGTTATGTTTAACGCCACACCTAGCAAAAGTCCAGCCATATGACGGCGTTTTGTAAATAATCGATCTGGTGAGTGATATCATGAGCATCGATCAACGGAATTGCGATACGCAGCAAACAACCAAGTCACAGATCATGAACACTCGATCCACTTAATCGTCTCTTATGACAAACATGGGCTTCTAGAGAGCTTTTGTCTCATCCGGATTCCCCACGGGGGAAGTTAGATATATGACCTTAGCTATGCAGAGTTTATATAAACATGCTTCTTATTACCATGCTGGTTGTTGAAAGTATTCCGTGTCTTCAGGACGAGCAATAGTTATTGGTTTTGGTCTAGTCGTGCCGCCATCGATGTTCAGTACCGTTCTAACTACTCACACCAAACCAAGACACTGGTCAGTAAAATACCGGTCAGTGGGTTTTATGTATATCATCGCGACCTTCAAATAACATATCAAGAGTCAGAAATTTCATATTGACGTCCAAGCTGTCGGAGTACGATGATACGCAATCAACCAAGTCACAGAGCCTGACCACCCGATCCCATTTAGTATCGCCAAGCGAGTGTAAGAAGCCTATTCTTAGCCTTGTCCTCGAGGGTCGGCCGAGACCATCAATGTACCCAGCTACCCTCTCGATCGAAAAATCTACAAATCATCATTTGTCCAAATAGATTGTCCGGTGGTAAATGTCCGGGTGGCAGTTGTCCTGCTCCCATAGAAACACAAGACATTGAGGACGTAAGTCATGGAACAAGTTCTTATATCATGGGGGCACGTGGCAGTTGTCCTGCTCCCATATAAACACAAGACATTTAGGACGTAAGTCATGGAACAAGTTCTTATATCATGGGGGCACGTGGCAGTTGTCCTGCTCCCATAGAAACACAAGAGATTTAGGACGTAAGTCAAGGAACAAGTTCTTATATCATGGGGGCACGAGGGGCCAGAATCGCTATGCATAGTTGCGTCCCTTAGGCACGTCAGAAACCTATGATGTGGAGGCAAATCCAGGTTCGCCCCGATTATGTTTCAAGGTTTGTCAGCACCATACCCGTGCTCGTGGCTTTCACCGAAGTGGTAAACGTCTGAGACCTGCATCACTTCGGGCTTTCCTCCCACATTAAGCTGTCACGCCGTGATATAACTGAAATAGTGTTGAAAGCGGCATTAAACCAACTCCTCACTCTTAAATCACGGCTAACTGCTCTATATATTGCACTCAACTTAGTAGGGATATTTTTCTTTCTTAATGATTCATAAAACTGATTCTCATAATATGTCAAGTGTATAAATAAATTAATGGCATGTCTGATTATTCCTATCAAAAACTGACAAGGACATATGAGATCACAGCGGTGAATATTAAATGACAATAAATAATGCAGTCAACCATCATAGGGTCTATGCTGTGTGTGCATTCCACGTAAACTGTGGTATTTTGTTCTCCTTACACTGAATAAGAATTCGTCTACTGACGGGATATAAAGCATCGTTATCGTCGTGGGTGTCCTTGGTCATGCAGTCACGCGTCCTCTGTCCAGGCTAAATCCTGTATTGAGTCAGTAATGAATTATCTGTTGTTATCTACCTCACTCACTCGCCCGATGTGATGCAGACCTACATAAAAAAACTGACGGCAATCCCCATATGGTTGTTCATACTTTACATCATCACTTTACAACTGATTTACAACTGATTTGCCTGGCGCAGACCCAGCAAAAATAGCGCTGACAGTCGACAACATTCTCTCAATCACACATGTGAACCCATGGGACGGAACCAATCAAAGCACATTTACATTTCACTGTCTTGCACCAGGTTTAGTGCTAAGTTCTGGTTGTGCGGTCCGGCCTGGGTTCAAAGACTCAACAAGGCTGTGCATGCACTCAACAGGTAGGGCGTTATGAACGTATTGTCCGCGGTCACTAGTTCTATATATGTCTGAATGAACTTCCCTCTGAGGTCACACGTCCTTTGATGTCCGTGTAGTGTCCACGGCGATTTTACAGGAGTGGTCGACAGTACGATACTGACCACTGTGTGGCCGACCTACAACCACTGGGCACTTCGTTTTCTGCTTAGAGCTATATATGTTATGCTGTGTAGAAAGATACGTTCTTTCGTTTTTTCTATGGTCTAACATACGCCCGTAGGATTTGTAAGTGCAGTTAGGTTTCTCGGTTTGAAAACGAGCATCTAACAACAATACCTTACATAGATCTTCTGGTAATTGGAGCCTGTATTTCAAGACATTTTAGAAAAATGAAAATAAAATTTATGTAAGGATCTTAAATAATAGTTTTGACATTTATCAGAAATGTTC